GGCTTGACATGCCATGCTTCAAGACCTTCTCGCAACCCCGCTGCAAGCTATCACAGTAGCCTGACAAGATCACCCGCAGTGAATGGAAGGAAGCAGCGAACGCTGCATCTACGGTCGTGGTGCCTGGGGCCACTGGCGGGCCCACATTGGAGCTCATGGCACCAGACGCGGCAACACGGGGTCTGAGAACCAAATACCCGACAATGCCCGGCGACTTCAAAAAGGACCTCGCAGGTATCAAGCTTCCGACCCGCGCTGTTTTTGCTGGTCTGGCTTATAGTGCCTTATCAATGCACGCGCCTATCATGCTTCATACTGTGCTGCGCTTGAACCTGAAGCGGTGATTCAGCGCAGCGTGCAACTTGCCTTATCTAGTATGCTGATGTATGTCATGCATGCACAGACAATCATGTCAATAATCGTCCATCATCCTGAAGGAACTTTCAACCGTTCCAGACTTGCCCGGAAAGGTCCCGATCCGTCTCCTCTGCTCGCGCGCGGCCTTGAAGCTCTCCTGCGCGGATGCTTGCTCCAGCTGCTCCAGGACTCCTGGGCTCCTGGGACATGGAATGACATGGACTGAGTTTCGCTTTTACGTAGGGTGAAAAGGAAAAGAGCCAGGGGTTTATAGACGGGTTCAAGCTTCGTGTGCTTATCCATCGGTACTTGTAGCTGTGACCAGCTATCGACTCGTTAGACAACGTCCCAGCCATCTACAGTAGACTTAGAGAACGCCAACAACGGGGGATCGAAAGCACTGAACTCCGGAATCGCCCAAAGCATGGCCTGGTCAGCTGCACGGCTGTCTCCAGAGCGCACCTTGCGGACTGGATTGTGACTAGAACGCTGGCATTCTGGCAGACATGTAGAAGCCGCGGTAGATCACATAATTGTGCGCTCGTCCAGCCCCTGGGCCTCTGAACAAGGGGATGACAGTCCTGGCGCTCTCGACAGAAACAGCTGAACTTGGGCCTCATCTATAACTTTGGGAAAATGTGGGGAAGCGTGGCAGAGGTGCTCTGTGCAGGAGCCTGGCCATGGACGGCAGGGCCTCAGCCGCCAAAAGCCCAGAGCACGGCGAAAAACCTGCTTTGTAACACCGTCCTTCCATTCAAGATTCAAGCATTTGTAGTGGGACATCTCTTTTTGCATTACGATGGAGGCTCAGCAACACAAACCCGACACAGGAACAAACAACTGGGAATCCGCACACCCATCTCTGCCAGTCGGCTCCGCCTGTCCTTGACAAGCGCAGTAGGAGGTTGCGAAAAACAACCTCCTCTTACTTTGCTGGTACATGCGGAAGGCGGTCATATTGTCACTTAGAGGTTTGTCACGCTCATAGAGAGAGCAATGTAAACCTGCGTGCATGCTGCATGCTCCTACAGCCAAGAGTTCACTCGACAGCGTTGCCTCCTCTACCGGGAACATCCCAAGGTCTTGACTCCTATGCCTCAACATTAATTAGAAGGACTCTGCTGAATCAACCTCTGAATCCAAGATCCGACGGCGAAAAGTGACCCAGCTCAGCCTCCGTGCTCGCATAGCGATTGAGCATGCCCGCGATTTCAGAGACGCAGAGGCCAGCCACCGTGACGGCAAGCCTCGACAGTGAAGGTCTTTCATCACTCCTCTGAAACGATTACATGGGTTTGCGATGCAATATCTTCTGCTGTTTCCGATTTCAGAGCGTGTGGAAATTCTGCACTTCGAGTCGGAGAAATACTCCTCGAGACCACAGTGATGCTTCACGAGTGGGCCGACTTCTCAATCCTTGAATTCTTATCCCGCACTCCTCCCAAACTCAGGAACCTGACATTCTATGTTGCAAGACTCGTCAACAAGCACAGAACACAAAGAAGTCGCAGGCGGGCGCCTGTTGGCGATCCCTCCGGTAGAGGCTTCGTAGAACTGTAGTCCTGTCGCATGTTGTCGGGTTCGGCGATCGAAATCCTTCGCCTTCTCTTCGTCGGGTGCCCTACGTAATTTCAGGTCTTGCTTGCTCTCGCTTCTTGGTTTTGGCTTCCTTCACCGAACTAGCAGCAGTGCTCACCCGGCCTTGCCCAAAGCCACCTTCTACCTCTGCAAGGTATTCCGACACAAGCTCCGGCAAAATCCTCGCATGGCACTTTGCCCCGGTGTCACGCTGAGCTATTGGGTCCTAAGTCTGAAACATGCAAACGGTAAGGTTTGGGCCTCAGCACTTCTGGCGCACGGCTGCTGGAAAGGGCCTGACCCGTTTCCAAATGCTGAACACTTCCCCTGCCACCTTCTCATACTCACTTTGCTGTGGCCCCGAGCGTATACGGACTGTTGGCTTCTCTCACAGCTCCTGCAGAGAGAGGTCCAGTCTCGTCCCAAGCGAGCCGGTGCCACCAGGATCACCAGGGTCTCCTCATTTCCAGTGGAGGAAGCCGGAAACGCTCACGCTCAGCTTGGGCCTGAGCCACTGTAAGGGAATGGACTGTTCGCACAAGACAAGAAGGAATGTATCCAGGGGCTGTGCATCTGCCAAGTAGGCCGGCCCTTCCATGGGAATGCCACAACCAACGAAGCTTCCAACAACGGCGATACTGCGGTGCATTCGTGGGGCCTCTGCACGCGACCTCTTCCAGCACTTCCGCAGAGGGAGACCTGGTCGGACGAAACATGATTTTGCTGACTGCTGCACACGACTACCTGCTCAAAACTATTCACATCGATGCCTCTTCATGGGCTCAGGGCTCCTCCACATGGTTCGAGGAGATGCACAGGCTCCTTGCACAGCGCGGGTTCCGGTCTCACTTGCAGGACACGTGGCATCTGGCGTCCCCATGGAACACTCCTGAACGCAGGCTCGGTGGCGGCAGCCCCGGAAGATCTGGTGCCATCACCTGCTTTGCGAAGGAAGAAATCCCACGCCGCTCTGTTCAGAGTCGCTGTACTGAGCTCGTGGCCCGGTAGCAGGCTGGTGGCACCGGCGTCGGCCTTACAACTTCTGCTTCTTCAAGGCTTCATTCGGCACGTCAACAGGCATAGGCTGCCGGCAGCTCACGGCCACGCTCTTGTGTGCTTTGCAACGGAAGCTCCGTCTCCTGGACGCAGCGATCCTCTTCGCATTGACACAGACAACCAACAAGCATCGACGGCCTCGAAAGCCGACTTCTTCCACCCTTTTTCAAGTAGCCTGGCCATCTTTACTTCCAAGCTTCCAGGCCCAGGCCAGAAACTCTTGATCGCAAACAACGAGCGCCGGCTCATGACAAAACTTGGAGACATGTCAGGTGCTCGCAAGCTGGAAGTCGGGATCACGCCTTTGATCTCAGGTACGTTCCCACGCAGTTCCCGTCGACGACTACAGCGATGCACGTGGGAGGTTGCCCTGTTCCCTGAGGCTTCAACGTGAGCAACCGCAAGCACCTCAGACAAACTGGATACCCCCGACACGCAAAGATCTGGAATCGGCATCCATACATCTACATATTGACATGCAGGCACGGCATCTGAGTCCAAAACTGCAGTATCCTCAAAGTAAACACCCTCCCCTTCTTCTCCTTGAGGCAACTTGATACATTGCAAGATGCAGAGTTCTTTCGTGCATGTGACCAGGCCTTGTGATTCGAACACATGATCTGCCGAAGCTCCTAGCGAGTAGATTGCGACTGCAATGCTTCTCGAGTTGAAAGAAGTATTGCCACACTCAACGGTTCAAGACAAAGGATCCCCACGTGCGGTCGAAATGCCCTGTCCACTCTCATCTTTTCTTGATACCTCTTCCCGTGTCCTCTTGCAAGCGCCGAAAAAGCTGGACGTAGCGATCCATGGCCCCCTGTGCGTGACGGTGTCAGCGCCCTTCGCTTGCAAGGCAGACGCCGAGACCGCCGCATAGCGTGTGTCCCGGAAAACGTAGCGCTGGGAGTGCGCCTGAGTGGAGCTGCGGCGGAGCTCCGGCGGAGCTGAGGAGCGTGGAGAGGGCTCTGCGCAGAGCTCCAATGCTCCCTGCCTCAATGAAAAAGTCCATGGCTTCCGCAAGCTCCGGAGAGTCCTGAGCTGTTTGGTGTTTGGGGCTGCCACAGACGGTCGCTCCAGGATCCATTCGGGCAGCTGACATCCTTCTCATAGGCACCTGAAAGATGCTCTCTGCGGCAGAAGTGTTGGCGTTCTCACATGGCATCACCTGGCCTTCCAGGTGCTCCGCCAGCCGGACTAAGGAAGCAATCTCGCCCGGGCTGTGCACCTCATCCATGGAGCCTCAGCCAACATGGCAGCCTTGCAAAAGGCCGGAGGCACCGCGGAATTTAAGCCGCGGACCCGTCTAGACTCAAACCACGTGGAGGAAGCCATGAAGCAGCAACGGCCAACCTTTGGGCGGGGAGGAACCCAAACTTCTTGTTTATGGAGATACACTGCGATCAGTACCACTTACCGGAGTGATGTTGCTGATGACGAGGACGAGGTTAGCAACAGCAACAGCAACGTCGACGTCATCACGGGGCTGCATCATAATCAATGTCAACATCGTCATGGTCATGAATATCGTCGTCATCATCATTGTCATCACCATCATCGTCATCATCATCGTCCCATTCGAGTACACCATCATCAGCAGCAGCAGGAGCAATAGCAATAGCAATAGCAGTGGCTGCAGCAACAGCAAAAAGCAACAGAAACAGCGGAAGCAACAAAAACAGCCCCAACAGCAAGATTTTGTAAAGTTCAGTTCCCATGGCATCAACTGGGATGCAAAACACTGGACAATGAAGAGGCATGTTAGCATTGGGCTCATGCGACACTTCGAAGGATATGTAGACACGCACAGAAGGCCTCCGCCTGTTCTGGAAAGCCGCTTCTGGTATGGTATGCATGGCATGGGTTCACATTTCAGCTTTGGGCAATGCGTGCGTGTCTCAAGGTCATCAGGCAGGCTCCACTCTTGCATCTTCTCTCGTGGTGGCCGGATACCATTCTTGTGCTCATGTGGCAAACGGCTGAGACGGATGAGATCAGCTGCGAACGATCATACATCCTCGCACATGCCCATGGCCAAAACGCTCTGCAGGGCAGTCACTTCTGCTCTGCTGTGCCAGGCCTTTTCTTGACTGCTGCATGCTGTCCCTAAACTGCAGTGGGCCCTGCGGTCTGATCTGGGGTGAAAGCTGATTTAAAGAATGTGGCAAGTGGGGCAGGAGCCACGTAGCAAGCGAGTAGGCAGAATTTCTTCCTAACAGTGAACGAGATTCGACGATATGATTGTGAAGCAGACCTGGACATTCTAAGACCTCCTGACTGGAGAATTCCCCGATGTCTTGCCGCCATTCATCAGCCAATGTGCCCTGCAAGGCGAGCAACGGCAACGAACACAGCGCGCTAACACGGCAAATTTTCCCAACCGCTGCGACCTGAGGCTGGCTGCTCGATCTCGCGTTTGCCCGGCTGCATTCAGCATTTCGAGCCCCTGCTCCCAGTCCTGGTGCCAGGGAGGGTATCTCGACTTTATTGGCTTGGGGATCTCCAGCTCACCATGCCTCGAGTGAAGTAGGTCGCGTGATCTTCGGATAGCCAGCGTCGTCATCGATGTTGAACATCACAGGCTCTCGTGACGGACTCGCCTCGACCCAAGCGTCGAAGGTGGCTGGAGAAGCTATGCGCATAAGCTGAGCTGCCTCAGAGGGTGCTTCATCACTTGCACCTCCAAAAGTACTTTTGGTGGATTCCTGGGAGCCAACGACTCCATATCATCGTCATCGACACGACACACTGTGGCACTTCAAGGGTTCTGAGGGCTGGCACATTGGTTCCGGCCGGCGGGGTCACCACCTCAGAATCGACAGGGCTCACTTTCTTCGTGAACTTCTCCGGACAGCTTCGCCTGGCCAGCTGCTGCTAGCCTTTGGCGAAGCAGCGCTTCCCTGCAAAACCGACGCAGACCACGCGCTTGCTGGAAATGCTCCGAACCCAGCCCAACCTATTGGCAATGATGCCCCGGCGGATCTCGAACTGTCGAAGCTCCTGCATTCAGTTCACGCCTGTTCACCTGCCTGGGAATTTGTGCGCTCCAAAAGCAGACAAGACCAATACAAAATCATATCAGATCCTTTAACCTGACCTAATCAAATGAGACATAGTATGAACAATGCAATTCAGCACAGAACAACGTAATGAGATACATGTTATGCGAACATGATGACAGTGGCACATCACATGATTCGGTGTGATATAGTATACTAAAAGCAACAGAATACAATCCGCATGATATCATGTGATGAAATACAAGTGTAGTGTAATATGATATGACATGATGTACTCCCACATCATGCTCTGATGTCACGTAATGCAACGTGTTTTGCTGTGACATCACATGATGTGAGATAATGAGATGAGCTATGACAAGACAAACACAATGCTATGAGACGTATGAACCTGTCATGTAGTATACACTAATACAGTACAATACATTACGTCATAATACAATGTAAAGTAATACAATACAATACAGGACAAGACAGTATAGGACAACATTATACAGTATAGTACAATACAATGCAATACACCGTACAAATGCAAGAGGTACAAGGCCATATACTTACTATAGTACAATATACCCTAATCTCATAAAATGTATGGTGATATAGTATGCTGCAACGAAATGGAATAGAACAGAACCAAGCATAATATCATGCCGCAGAATAGGGCGCAACAGGACAGAATAGAATAGAACAGAATGCCATGTAACACAGCAGAGCCAAATATAGGAAAATGTAAAGACCTGTATGAATATAGCAGGAAAGGGCACCATGACGAAACACAGTATAAACTAACATAACATGACACAACAAAACAGAGTACACTATCATAGCAGAATCTACCAAAATATAGCATAACAGAACTGAAAAAAGCACTGTCTACGCAAATGTGGCATTGCAGCGCGATACAGCACACAGAGTAATGCACAACACATTCTACCAAAATCAAACATGTTGCAACATGATATGAATTTACATGTGGTATGAAACTGACGATACAAATGAAAAATCGTGCCAATGTAAATTCGAATTGAAAAGTAGCATGTAAAGATACGAATATACGTCTGAAACTATTGCAACCAAAAATATATTGCAACGTAGAGCCAGACAATGTAATGTGAAACCAGGTGATATGAAGTATTGTAACATGACACGACACTGACACGACACGACATAATATGATAAAGCCGTGCAGAACGTGATATAACATGATATGATTTGATTTAAAACCTGATCTGATTCTATGCAGTATGCTATAACACAACCTGATGCAACACTGCACAATGTAACGCAGAGATGATACAACATGATAGAACGCATAGATTGCTACTTTAGATGCATTCAATGGAATGGAAAGCAGCAATGGAATAGCATAGAACGGAATAGACTCGAATGGAAGAGAATCGAACGGAATTGAATCCACTGGAATAGAATAAAGATGGAAAAGAACAGAATAGAACAGGACAGAACAGAACAGAAGAGACCAGAATATGAACCATGTAATTGCAGAATAGAGAAAGAACAGAGTAGAATGACATGGAATAGCGTAGAATAGAGCATGTGATACTGCAACATGGAACAGAATGGAATAGACTAACATATATATATATATTATAAGTATTATAAATTGTTGTTGTAGTCTCCCCGCCGGTCTCCTCGCGGAGCTCCTCGATGGTCTGGTCGACCTCTGCTCGTTTCCCGTCCGCAGCCGGAGGAGGGAAAAAAGGAGCCAGGGCGCTGCTGTGGAGCTTGAGGGGAGGGGAGGGATGACTGGGGTGCATGAGCTTCGGGGCCTTAGTCATAACACTGACTTTTCAGTAGGTTTAGGGTTTCGGTTTGGGTTTCGGTAGGGTTTAGGGTTTGGCCAGACATGATCAAGATTGATGTATTCGGTCACATTCGGGATGCGCCTGCTTGAGCTCCGCAACGGCCCCTCGCCAGTCTTCAACTGATGCCTCCTCCTGGCATCTTCTGAGGATTTGGTGCCTCCATGGGCTCACTGTTGGCATGCGCCTGGCCTCAGCCATGGCTAGGACGTCTGCGACCCAAGCCCTACCTCTGAGCAAAATGCCCCGGAGGCCAAACAAGGTCCAAGACGAGCACCGACGTGTGCCTAGACTGCCTAGCCGCGAGAGCCAGGGACTTCAGTTGGCCAAGGCACTTCGCGTTTTTCAGCGCACGATTGCTTGGTTGCTTGGATGCTCTTTCAGGACTGTGAGAGAATGCGACAGAGGGTGAGAGAGAGAGAGAGAGCAGTTGCTCATCTCCCGAACGCCAGCCGGCAAACGCGGCTTTAGTCTCGAGGGCCCCTTGTGGGCTGCAGACAACTCATCCCTCAGACTCTGTACCTGGAGTTATGCCCTGCAACGCATTCCTGAGTCGAAGACGGAGAGACGTCCGAGACTTCATCTTGTGGCTTCCCGAGGCCGGTGCATCTCCTCGAGAAGCTTGGCCAAGTTCTTCAGGTGCTCCTGCCAATGAAGCACTCCTTGAAACGACATCACTTGTCGTTCTCAAAAACGTCAGCTCTCTCCTGCTGCAGAGGAGTCAACTCGGCCTCGGAAGAGAGTCCAGAGACGAGAAAGCGGTGCTTTTGCCAAGGTCGCACGAAGATTGAGCAGGGCCTCCTCTCTCGGCTCCGATGAGCCCTTGGACACCTCGGGCTCTTTCGCGTCCTCCGGTGTCTCCTCCGGCTTCGGGGGCTCGGGCGTCGCCTGTCTCTGCTCCTGGCAGGTCTGCGAAGATACCGCCAGTCACAGAGTAGAACTTGCAGTACGCCGTCCCCACCCCAGATCTTTCCGTCCTTCTCAGGTTGCTTTGCAGAGCTTGCAGCTTCGGTGCTCTCCTTTCGTTCAGCTTCCGCTTCCCGAGCTCGCTTCTCTTCCTCTGCCTGCTCTGCCATGGCCTTCGGCTCAAAAAAAAAGCTTTGAAACGAAGAGCCCCTGAGCACCTCGCCTGCTGCATGAGATGCTTCCTTCGAGCACTCCGAGCTGCAGGAGGCTCGAGGCTGTGGAGCTCCCAGTACCAGAAGTACGCAGCTGAACAGGCGAAGTGCGTCAGAAGACTCAAACTCACAGCTTTGCAACGCTGGGGGGGCGAACAATAGGCCGCGAGACGCTTCTCGAGCCAGACCTCTGACAGATCTCTCTGAAAGCTGAGGATTTCTCAAAAGGATGAGACTGAGACCTTCCATGAGGCGAACCAACAGAGAAGTTGGAGCGAACGCCGTCGCAGAGATCTCCGCCTCAGCCGAGAGCTTGAGCAGAACTTGGGTTGACTATACAAGAGCGGAAGTTGACATTTGGATTACCTGATGTCAAGGTCCTGCTATCAAAACGTCCATCTAGCAAGTATCCTGCTACTTGGGGTCTTTATTGGGAACCTGTTCTGTTCTGAAACTCCCCTACAGGTGAAGCTCATGCCCTCTCGGACCGCGGCTGGTTGAGGGGACCACCGGACACGTACCTCTTGCAAGGACAGGACTTATTGTATGTGTATGTATACCTATATATGCATTCTCTCACTCTGGTGATGTATCGGTTTAATCACGCATTCGTCTTTTCATATGTTGCTGTATTATATGCTTGTTTGTGTTATTAACTGCTTGCATTTACATTTAGGCAAGTACAAATTTGCCCTGTGGTTTACATTTACTGAATTGTCCATCTACCCATTTCTATACTTGTGTATATATTCGCTTTAGCTATCTGTCTGTCGGTCCGTCCGTCTGTGTGTCCGTCTGTCTCGGTTGGTCGATCTATCTAGTGTGTACTAATCTTTACCTGCTGTAGATATATTTACAGGTTTGCTTGTATTTCCAAAATGGTTCATCTTTCTGGAGATATCTACCCTTTCTGTTATATGTATCTTTGTAGATATATGCATCTTTACACTTCTCTTCATAATTAGCTATGCGTACGTTTATAGTTGAGTGTATCATCTTTACCTCTATGTCTCTATGCTGTAAAAATATGCAGATGATTAGGGTCGCTGCCAACATAGGATCCTCTTGTTTTGTTGCTATGCCAACGAACCAAAAAATCAGTAAATCAATAATAAGCGAACACACCAAGAAACACAAGGTGATATTGTAATTTTCCATATACATACAGCGCGTGCTTATGTGTGTGTATACCTATATACATATATACACACACATACACATATACACATATACATATATACAGCGGGATCTTGGATGAGTACACAGCTACTTCTACTATAGGTACTTCCAATGTTGAAACTGTTTCGAAACCCAGCCATTGTCGCAGCAGTCTGCCTGAAGGTGGCGCTGGGACCAAGCAGGAAGGCCAGCATTGCTGCCGGGTTGAGGACTTGAAATGAAGGGATGCCAAGGTTTTGGCTCACGGCGTAGTCTCTGAGTCGGACCTTGGCCGGACTGGTTGACTGGTTGAACTAACCTTAAGTCGACGGCGTCAGCGAGCGCTCTTCTTTCTGGATTGTTCATGCCATCCAGCCTACACTGGACTTGAGCCTCCAATGATGCGATCTGTAAGACAAGCTTGCACTGCCCAGAAACACAAGCGAGGCGCTAGGGTTATTTGCATGTCAAAGGTCTTTCTCCAGCTATGTTACAAGGACGGGCACAATCTTTGGTGCCTCTGTCCAGAAACAGATTGGCAGGGAGGAACAGCAGGGCATTTCTACGATGCTGAGACCTCACCGTCTCCGTCGCCGTGACCCGCACGATCCGGTGGGCTCAGGGACCGCTGCCTAAGCTGTGGAACTGCGAGCATCCTTTGGTTCTTCTTCACATTCACATGTCGTTAGGACCGCGCTTCCTGCCCTGAAGCTCTGCGATCTGCGCACGGAGGTGTGCTGCCACCAGGGGTGCTTTGGGCTCTTGCAACTGTGCCTCAGGTTGAGACCAGAACGTTATAATCCAAAAAAGTGCAAGAGGTGGCCCGCTGATGCCTCCATTTCAAGAAGAACTTCTGCTTCAGAAGAGTCCGCCTGCCGGAGACATCTCAGAAGAGCGCCAGTGGCCGGCCTGAGAGCCACAACGCTCCGCAGGCTTCGACCCAGGCGCCTCTTCTAGCAAGAAAGCGAGCATCTCCACCTCGTTCTCGGCCTGTACAGGTCTCTCTGTCTTCCCTCTTTGGGGCAGGTCCCTGCCTCAACAATCGCCCGTTGCAGCGAGCCGTCCGAGCCTGTCCGAGAGGCCCGCAGCACCCAGCTTGGCCAAGGTACGCAAGATGTTGAAATCTGGTGCCTTCGTGGCTGGTCTGGGCCTCCTCGCGCAGCTTAGCAGCTTTGAGCACCACCGTCACGAACTGGTCGGGGCATTGTGCCACAGTTCGTTCCGTAGGATGCAGTGGCGACAGCTCTCGTTCATTAACCCCCCTCCCCTGCCGCTCGCCGTCGGACATGTTGCTTTTCTACGCCGCGCCAAAGCCAAGATGCACCAGAGGCGTGCCGAGTGCCGTGCCGCGCAGGGGCTCCGCATCCTCGAGCGAGAAGCCGGTTCAGGTCTTCCTGGACCGAAGGTCTCCACGAGCAGCTGCAGCAGGGGATCGTCACGAGCCATGCGCGCATGGCGTGGTTTCCGATGCAGGGAGGGCGGGAGGCCGAGGCATAGCTCGAATCACTTGGCACGGCCCTCGAAGCATTGCTCACTCCCAATGTCAACATATGCGCAGAAGACTTGTCCGTCAGACTGCACGAACTTCTGATTGTTGCCACCGTGACATTCGTAGAGACCCCAGGTGTTGACGTCCTCGATACAGGAGATACTCTGTCTGCTACTCTCTGCAGATCATGACGGTCAAAACAGAGCAGCTAAGCCGCTTCGTCAGACCACGTGTCCAAGCAAGCCATTGTCTCGGCCTGCTTTAGGCCTTGGTTCTCATAGATGTAGTAGCCACAGTCTTCCTGGACACTTGCATCGTGCTTGCATTGGTTGTCATGTGTCCAAACAACTTGTCCTGCGACTCCACCCATTGTGCTTCAGCATCGAGACATTGAGTGCTGCCCTTCCAGTACAGCTTGATGCAACTTCTGCCTGCAGCTTCGAGCTCACTGGCCATCTCTCGTGCCGCGTTTCGGGCTCATGATGCTCACAAGCTTCTGCTAAAACATTTAAAACCATCAACGCCCCAGGTCCGGAGAACTTCTGACCCATCACAGCAACCCTGCCTGGTTCCAAGCACCGCTTGGGCATGTCCGAAGGTGCATCCACATTGAGCTCCGCGTTGAGGCGGGCGAAAACCTCCCCAGGGTTCAGCAGTTTTACCGATAGAGCTGGTTCCTTTGCCTGTCCACCCCGGGTGCCTCCGGATGTTCCTGCTGTGCTTTTCGATAAAGCTTTGTCTCAAGCGGAATCTGGGAGCTCATCTTGGAGAACCTCCAGGCACTGCTAAGGCACTCCGAAGCTGCATGTAGATCACCTGTCCACAGGAAGGATGCCTCGAGCCGCCCTTGTTCCGGAAGGATACGCAGGGTGCCTGGCTCTCAGCCGCGCAGGAACTGTGGGCTCTCATGGGGAAGTTCCTGGCCTCTTTCAGGCCGGGTGTCTGAGAGTTGGCTGGTCCCAGACAACTGGAACCCTTTTTGAGAAGACCGTCCTGAGCAAAAGACGCAGAGCCCAACGCAATGGCAACTGCGGGTATATAAAGGCACATCCCTCCGTCCCAGCAGCGCTCGTCAACGACCAAGCTTGAGAAGGATTCGTTCCAGAGAGCTCACCTCGGCAGGGACGAAGCACAAGATTACATTGACCGGACACACTGTACTTGCAGGAAAATCCGTTGCATGCAGGGTGCAAATGCCGGTGATCCCACGTCCACCTGATTGCCCGCCCTGCCACGTGACGGCACACTTTGGCGGCAAACGCAGGAAGTGGATAGGCCGAGCCCCAAAACTAAAACGGTCTGTCATCATAGTCTTGTTATGTGCCAAGTCCTGAAGGCACTGGTCAGTATTCCAGGCCCTCAAGCCGCTGCAGCATTTCCTGAGACATGCGCACAGACTCTGTTCCCCATAAGTACAGCTTTTCATGGAAGTGCTAAGGGCTCTTGAAAAGCTGGGCAGCTGGCTTTGTTTTCCTCAGCTCACACGGAAGCTGCAAATTCGAGAAACGCTTGTTCTGCATCGTTGGGTGTTAAAGGCAACCGAAAGGCTTGTTGCGGTTCCCCAGGTGCCAGAAGAAGCGGTGGTTGTTCTGATCGCAGTTTTCAAGCCTCACACTCTCCCGGCGAGTCGGGACTACCGCAACCAGCTCCGCGTCCCAGGGCCCCGTCCCGCCTCACGCCCTCGGATCCGGAGCCACTCGTTCCTGCCCCGCCCATGTACCGCAGGCAGAGCCCGCTTTGCTCCTGCACACAGGTCAGTGCTTGCACGCCAGGAAGGACGTCGTTTGGCAGAACCTGCAGCTTTCTTTTGGACTGGAAACTCAGCAAAGCCGTACAAAACCGAAGACCTAGGCCCTACGACAAACCCGCGACAACCGAAACTAAGCAGCCCCCCGACTCTGCGTCTTCAAACACCGTCGGCCACAAGGAAAGGCGTCCTCTCGAATCATGAAGATTTCCGGAGGAATCAGACCCGCGTCTTCGTAGACTACCTTGAAGCGCTTCAGGTACCACGCGAAGGGTCTGCAGCCGTTCAGGCGTTTCTTGACGTTGTTGAAGGTGCTCATGTCCTCGTGCAGAACACGCTTCGTGGTCTGTGACCCTGTTCGTGAAAACACAGAAACTGAGACCCGCTCTCCGAACCAATTGGCTCCACCAGAGCTTTTGCGATGTGCGAAGTTGGGATAGTCATCCAGTTTCGCACTGAACTCTTCCAGCCACGCATTTATCGCCCTGGCACGATTGTAGATCGTGTCACCAACATGCTTGTATCGGGCGCTGGTCTTCGCGGAGCCTGTTCTCCACATGTGTGCCACTTGGGAATTCGGAGCCGCGACGATCTCGCCTCCACAGACCCACATGCGCACACCTTGGTCGATGTTCTCTCCTCCCCAACCCAGCATCTTGTCGTCGTATCCTCCACTTTCATCCCACCATTGCCGGGACATGCCCGCTAAACCTCCGGAAAGCATCCCCATGTACATGTCGTCGGTGCCTGGCAGCGGCTCACATTCAAATGCTGCTCGGTTCTCTCGTGAGAAGACAGATATAAACTCTCCAGTCTGCGAGACAGGAAGCCTCCCCATTTGAAGTCGCCGTCCCATGTCAGATAGCACTTTGACATACCGCCACCGCGGCCGATTTGGGTCCAGCTGTCGATGTCCAGTGCTGTGATCTGAGGTATAACCATGCGACGATAGTTCTCAGCGATGAGCTTCATGAAATCTTCATGCCATCGAGGCTGAGGAGCTAAGTTGCGTCAAGCACCGGGGAGCTGATATCTCATCTCTGAAACTCACAAAATACAATTGAAGAGGAGTCATCTACGACCATGCGAGCGTGTCTGAGTACGTGTGCACACCTTACGTTCATTTGTGCATGTGTGTATGCTCTTGTGATCGGCTCTGGAATTCAGCTCACCCGTTCATATCTGCAGCAATAGTAGTGCATAGCAACTTATCCAAGAGCAAAACACCATGTCAATGTGCTCAGACTGAACAAGCACTCCTCAAGACATGATACATGCATTGTATATCTGTCTTCGGTGTAACTTTAGACCTCTGCGGCAACGCTTGCAGTGGTTGCGGCAGTAGTCGTAGTATCAGCAGCAGAAGGTGCGGACGGCTGGTGGTGGTGTGAGTGGTGAGTGGTGAGTCGTGAGTGGTGAGTGGTGCGTGGTGCATCGTAGTGCATGGTGCGTGGAGGGTGGTACGTGGTGGTAATGGTCGTCGTCGTCGTCGTAGTAGTAGTAGTTCGAGTAGGAGGAGTCGTGGTCGCAGTCGTAATCGTCGTAGCAGCAACCACTGTTGTTGCCAATGCTAGTAACTGTCTTGGTATCAATGCCTGAAAAACCACTAGCCCCTACCCAGCAGACCGAGACTGAGTCAGGAGTCCCACGTGGCAGTCGAAGAAGACGATGATGTCGCCAGTTGCAGCATCTCCGCCAGTCTTCTTGGCACCGATCAACCCCACCGTCCGGTCGTGTCTCTTGATCAAGATCTTGTACTTCTTCTGAACGTCTGCATTGAGGTGTGTCTCAGAAAGAGGAGGATTACCTGAGAGAAGGCACGAGTCAATCTACAGTAGCTCTTGCCTTGCGAAGCGGCTTTTCATGTCCAAGACCGCTGTGAGATCGGACTCTTGGTTTAGTTGTCGTAGACTCGTCTGCACTCCTGCGAAAGGTAAGAGATGACATGCTTCGCAGCTGCTGCCGTCATCAACGACGACGATCTCATGCAGAATGTCTGTCGGAGTCGTGTCGAAGACAGACTTCACGGTTTTGAACTCGGGACAAGGTAAGCAATGTCGACTAGTTGTGTCATCAAGTGAGCCCAAGCAGACTCTCAAAACACTCCTGGCTATACAGCTGCTATCGAGAGGCTGCCAAATCACGCTCTTCTGCACAAGGGAGCACCTTATTGCCCAGTGAGGACCCCTTGAACAGCTGCGGGAACCACTTGCCACAGTTTAGAGCGGATCCGTACAAGTCCAGTCGCTTGGGCTCCGGCGACTGAGATGGTGCGTGGCACCCACTTGAGGTCTTCCGGCTCTGCATCTACCACGAAGTTACCCTCACCGACAGCTGCCAGCGAAGCGCGTGCTATCCGTGGAGTCTCAACCTCGCAGCTGGGGTGCTGGTGACACGTATCAGCAGAAACCGCAAGGAGGCACCTCCACAGCTGCAAGGGGCCGAGGTGAAGGGGATGGAGCCGACATCTTTGGTGGCACCACCATGGACTTTGCCTGTGCGGGCATTGCCCCTTGCCCAAAGCCGCCACCAGTACCCACCTCTTTCTCGGGCCTTCGAACCTCGCATCATAGGAGCATCAAAATTCGCCGGCTTCTCTGGCTGGACGGGCTCGGCAGGCTGGTCCGAGTCGTCGGGCCGCATGCTTTCATGAAGCAGCAGCGACCACAGCCTCAAATCACAGACAGCCAGAGCAGCCCACCGACTGTGAAGTCTTCAACCTAAGATCCTGAGCACCCCGGGTCTTCAAATGCTGCACACTGGCTACTGGCTCAAAGAGGCCTTACTGCTTCTTCTTGCGACTAGCGGCTGCAGCGTGCACAAGCCAGCAAGTCGCAGGAAAAAGCTTCGCCAAGGGGGCGATCGACGCTTGGAGCTTGTGAGCGCTGAGAGCCATATCCAGATTTCGCAAAGGGTCGCGCCGATTGACAGAAGGCTGGTGAGCCTCAGAGCACAGTGGGTGGAAGAGACTGGTGCTCAAGAGCAGCTTGCAAAACGGTCGACTTCGAGGCACAAGTCAGGAGTGACCCCGGCCGCGAGGGCGCCGCCTGGGACCAGCCACCTCGCTCTCGCTCTCGGGTGAATGACTCTGAGACTCAATTCGGCATCTGCAGAAGCCTGAGGCATATGCACAATCACCAGTCGCAGCAGGAGCTCGAGCATGGATCCGATTCAGGGGCCATGAGCTGCACGCAGCACAGTCATCCCCTTTTGTAACTGCGTGGCTACGGTGCTAAATGCGGTTTCTGTTTCTGTGGGTGCTTGACCAGTCATCCTTGGAGGTGCCAGCAGTAGTAATGCACAGATGGCACTAACGTTTGCGTCTGGCTGTGTTCGAGGAAATACCTTTTTGCAGGCGATGTGTACACCCCAGCCAGCCGTCAGTCTAGACCGTTCCACTTATGCACGACTTGTCTTGCCTCCCCGGCTGGATGAGGAGACCTAACTGAAACGAAGCAAGGCATCAAGAAACAAGATCAAAACTGGGGGCGAGGCGGCGAGCGCGGAGTCACATCCAAACCTCGGGAGCAGCCACTTCTCCGGCCGTACCGCGGAGACCATCGCCTCGGAAGCCGCTCAGGTACTCGCGCGGTTGCCCGGAGACAGGAAGCCCAAGCCTGGCTCAGAGGGTGTTTAGGGCTTCCAACTAAGAGCCGGAATACGACACCACATGCTGCTGCTCAGATTCAAATCAAGCCCGGCTTGTCCAGTGCCTGGTAGACTCAAGCGACCTCCCTCTCCGAGCTGGACGTCTCCACAAAGGTGACTGCAGGGGTGCTGTACGCCTGAGCAACTCAAGCGACTCCTGAGCACTGCTGGAGCGGTTTAGATACAGACAGCGCTTCCAGAAGACTCCACCAGATTGTCTTCGCAAGCCTGTTGGGTGTGCGCATCCAACCGGTCCAGGAGGCGGCACTCCGACCTCGCAAAGCCCCAGTGCCATCAAACTCTCTACTCGTAGACTCGTAGCCGCCCTGTAAGGACCGAGCTGTCATCCTGACCGATATGGCCTTCACAAGTGATCACAAGCCGTGCAGCCTGAATCACACAAGGCCAGGGTCTCTGAGATTTTCGCTTGTCTGCGTGGTCGGTCTGTCGCCGCCAAAAGCCTATCCATGTTCCCCGGCTCACTCTTGCAGCACGTCAAAGTCAGTGCACACCGTCCTCTCCCCAGTAGCCAAGCCGTGGAGGACTGGCCAAGTCTCAACACAACTCCGGATACGCAGAGAAGGCATGCCAGGATGTGGCATGGCCTGAACGCCGGTGCATCAACCAAGCTTTGGATTTCAGCCTGGCTCCACGGTTGCGAAGATCCCTTGAAGTGGCCCCAGTCATGGGCCTGAAGCTCTGCATCGTCGCGGCGAACCGCGAGGCCCTTTGACTCCTGGCATGGGAGGAGCAGCATTCCAAAGATGCATTGAAGCTGTCAACAGGCATAGATTGCTGATCGCCGCCGCCACAGGTCGCAGTCGCCCTGCTTCCGTATCAACGCCTCGCTGTCAAGTGTGAACAGACATTGCCTCTCGATACCGACTCTATGCCACCTCTCGCCATTCCGCCGCAGTTTGCAGCAGCAAGTTGTAGCGATGCCGCACCTCGTCGAATTCGAAGTGCGAAGCCCTACAGGCCTACAGGTTAACTGCTCGGATAGGGGACGGACAGCCTGTAGCTCGGCTTGCCTTGCAGGTGCGCCAGCCTGCATTCTCCCGCAACCAGATCTCAGGGCTCAGGGCATTCCGGCGGGACCTGCCTGTTTCTGTTTCTGCTCTTGAAGGAGCTAAAATCCTTGGTCCTAGTGAGCTATGTACAGCTATGCCGCACGGCACCGCAAGAGGCAAGAGCTACGCGCCCTTCGCCGGTCGCCGGTCGCAGCGGCTGGGGGCACTTTGGGGGGGCACGGATGATAAAGAGGAATCCGGGAGTCAGCTCTCAGTTTCCTCGGTCTCCTCCTCCTCCGGGTCCGATGATGAATGTTCTTGCCTTGCTCCGAGGAGCGGGACGTTCTCAGGATTCCGATAAACAATTTGGACGGGATATCCCAAAGCCCTGAGCATGGCGAGCATGCGCTGCCGTCTGATGTTGGGATGGTCGCCGTCGGAGTCAGAGTCTGGTGAGTCGCCTTTGTTCTGCTCTGGAACGTCTTGGTAGTGATCCGGCCGTACCGGAAACTCCTTCTCGCCCAGGCGGAAATAAAGCTCGGCTCGAGCAGCCGCGTTACCTTCTGGCTCAGTCCAAACACTTGCCACTCTCCTTCCCCAAGAAGTGGTGGAGACCCTCTCTTGTTCCACCCCAAGAGCAACAAGCTCGGTCTGCACACACTCCGCTCGTCGGCGAGAGGTGCTAGTGGCGATCCCCCTGGGTGCACCAACCCCTGCATGCGCATCTACATGCAGTCGCAATCGAGGGTGTTTCTGAGCAAACAGCGCTGCTGCATGGACCAGCTGCTTCGTCTCCTCCAGCAGGTTCACACCACCGCCGTACTCGAAGTACAGATGGTTCTGGCTATCTGAAGCGCAGACCTCCGAGACGCTGAGGCCGATCTGTAACTGTTCGAGACTGGTGCACCCTGATGCCCAAACCATGCCATTCTCGCAGAAGTCTTGCGCCCGCCGCTCAGCGAAGCTGCGGCAGAGGATGAGGCGGTGTAAAGTGATATCTGCCATCCCGAGCCTGGACCGTCACTAGGAAACTTTAAGGGATAGTGAGCCAACATGTCACTTTCTTACCGCCCCTCGAGTCCTCCTGACCTTGCCACCCTTGCTACAGGGATTCAGGCAAGGAGGGCTGTTTAGCACCGCTCGTCTATATCCGGGTCTGCCCGGGTCTTAAGCTTCTTCCAAGACACCGAGCAAGCAGTGCCGGGTCGCAGCAGGCCGCCCCCAAGGTCTCCGTCACATCAGGAAGATTGAAGCAAGCAGTCAGCTGACTTTCTGGCTGACCTGCTCAGGACTTCGACTGGTTCTAAGTATGTGTCGCCTGAGCAGCCCCGTTGTCACACCTGTTTGCCTGAAACCCCTGATCCCGCGAGGGCGAGGGCTCCGGACTGTAGGAACCTGGGAAACATTGAGGATCCTCGAGGCCTCGACGAAATTCGATTGGACTGGCTTCTCCGCGACACGTCTTGGAATCCTGGCGGTTTGACTCCGCCACCTGGACCGGGAGATTCTTGTGCTCCTGTGGCATTTCGGTCTCTGCCTTTGGTGCCACAGTCTTTTCCATCACTGCATCCGACATGGACACATCCAAGGGCGTACCTGTGGCATTCGTGGTCGAAGTAGCCTCGTTCTCCGGATCCGGCCAACTGGTGGTGGAAGCTTCTTTGGTCACCTCCGCCAGCGCCATTTTGCAATTCTGAGCGGGTGTGTCCGCGTCCGGGTAGCCTTGCGAGTTTGACTTCTTTGAGCCTGTTATGCCATAGGTCTGCATAGCCACGTCGTCCAGCGGTCCTGTGTGCTTGTCTGATGAGTCAGCCAACTCCACAGCCATGGCAGGGCACGGCAGCTGAGACTTTTCCGGAAAAGATGTTGTGGTGTAATCCTCGTGTTTCCAGTTTGCCTCCGATCCGATTGTCTTGTGTTGCTGGTGACCCTACAGATTTCGAGCACTGCACTGCTATGACCACGGATGCAGCGAAACAACCCGAGGAGTTCTGGCCAACTGGGACATCTCCGTCCTAGGTCCTACGGGTAGCTGTCGGCTCGAACCTCGGCCGCCTTCAGCGCTTCGAGGCGGACGGCCAGTTCGAGCGCCTCGGGGCAATGCCAGGACTTGGAATTTCAAGCATGTGGAATGCTGGGTTGCTGGAGTTTCTGCATAGAGGGCAAGGTGACAAAACGCCTTACACAGAGACCTTTAGACTTTTAGACCTTCTCACTTATCAGCTTGTCCAAGATCTCCTGTGCAAAACCTCGTTGAATGCACTGGCCGATCCTGCCTTGGTGCGTGGGGTGCCAGGTGTCCTTTGACCGAGGACCGCACTTCTTGCCGTGATTCGCTGTGCTTCTTTGCCAAGCGAGCGTTCTCTCTCTGCCTGAAGAAAGCTGGAATTGCCAAAGCCGCCAAGCAGCTCGGAAATTTCTCCCCACCTCAAGCAGATTTCGCGAACAGCCTCCTGCACTGGCGGAGAATTTTGGCTGAATCACTTGAAAGGGACAGAAATCTTTGGCACATCGCCTGATGCTCCCGAACGTACACGTCCGCCTGAAAGCAGGACTTTCACAGATGCTAACTACTGCGCCTGTCTGGCATTTTTGGGTCATTTCTCAACTGGTTCCGCCCTTCAGGCGCAAGCATGCTGCAGCATGCTGAAGTGACAGTGTATCCACTATGCGTTTGCTTCTTTGCCTCGTGTCCCATCTCAGCCTCCTATAAGCTCCTCCCATATCTAAGATGGCGCAAACCGCTATGCGTGCGTGTGCTAGTCCCAAGGCTTGGGAAAGCCCGCATGGGCTGGGCGGGCCGGGCAGGTGCCTGCCATCGAGCTGACTCCAAGGCCGAGCGGAGCTGATCTGACTCCTGCCACGGTCGCACTGCCGCGGCACACAGCAAAGGTGCTGCCACGGCCTCCGCGTTGGACCGTTTAAGCTCATCGACCTCCAGCACGAGGCACACTTGCGAAAGAGACTCCGCTTCTACGAATTCGTTGCCTGCTCTCGTCTCGCGCGCTCGAGCTCCGCCACCTTCTTGGTCGCAGCACAGCCCGCGACTTTTCCGTGATTGTTCTTCGCTGCCTTCAGAGCGTGCTGACAGCGAAGCTCCTCGACCTCCTGCGGGCCGGATCCACAAAAGTCGAGATCAAGCGCCTCCTTTCCTGCACACTCGGCTTGCTTCCACCTTTTTCTCCGCGCATGCTTCATGCTCCCCGGCACACGGGGAGAAGACGCTGCGTGCACCGCCGTTAGCTGTTCCGATGCAGGGTCGGGCACTCTGTCTAGTCGAACTCACTGAGCTGGGACGCGAACCAGCGCCACTGAGCCTGTCTGCCAAGTCTCTGAGCCTCGCCCTTCACGTCCTCCGTCAGTTGACCGACAATCTGATCCCCTCACCCCGAACTTCCCAACGAGGCGTCTGTGCCTTGCTCTCCAACTTCACGTGCGCCAGGCGTCGAAAGGTCAAGGACGTTCTGCGCCGGGCACGCTGAACTTCAAGACCATCCCTGGCATCAGCAGATGGCGAACTTGCTCTCATTGCTCTCGGGCTCTTTCTAACGCCTCAGGCCTTGTAGTGTCTGCCTGCAACACGCTATATATTCAAAAGCATCTTGCAGGCCGGCAATAGCTCAAAGGATTCTGGGTGCCTCCGCGTGATCAATGCGGTGTACATAGAGGTTGTACGCCTCGCCCCTCATCACAAGCAAAGATCTGGGCTCCAGCAGCACCTCTGCGAAAGGCATCACCGAGGAAAAAATGTTTGGACTCCAAAGCACCGCCTCGAAGCGAGGAGGAAGATGCGGGTAAGCCTGTGGACTGCGAGCGCAGGCAGACTTGGGACGGCGATGCAAAGATCCGACTCAGTGGCGGCACCTTCTTCTCCACGAGACCGAAGTGCAGCAGCGCAGGGCCTTCCAATGTGAGGATCGCCACCTCCGGATTAAATTGTGGCCCGTCACCTCAAGGAAGAAAGGGAAAGAAGGAAAGCAGGCAGGGACGGAGAACAAGGAGCGCTAAGAGACAACTTCTGAACTACCTCATCCAGCCATGGTGCAATGAGCATCGATACCCTCACCGGGACGGTAGTGATTGACGAAGCACTGATTCGGCGCTCCTGATGAACTTGCGATTATCACATCGACAGTGCTTCGGTCAGCCCCTGACCTTCCGTGGCACCGACCCGGACGAGGTTTGATGCAAGTTGGAAGATGACTTCGGGAAGGTCTTCACAAATGGCCCCGTCTGGATGAGGCACACCTGAACTGTTTCGAAGCGCACCGAACAAGGGCGGCTCGACTCACCACCCAAGCCCAAGCCTCCGAGGCACATGAGGCGTCGCCGTCTAAGCTGCGTCCATCTTCCCTGAGTTGCAGATCGCTCGCTTCTGGCACAGTGTTCCGGGCCGTCTGCCTTCAACTCCTCGCCGTATATCTCGGAGATCAAGGACGCCTTGGCTGCCGCCTCCGCATGCCTCCGCCTCTGAAACCTCACCTTGCAAAGTCCGTGCCTCCCCCTCCACGTTGACGAAGTCCTTCACCAGAAAAAGGGGGAGAGCGGCGTGTACACGATGCCTTTCCCAGCGCGGACGAAGGCAAGCCTTCGAAGCAGTGTCCTCTGCAGAGAAGCTATAGTGCCGATGTCCCCGGCGCTTTGCAACACAGCCATCTGCCAATACTTTGCACAATGGGTCCTGCCACGCCTGCCACCAGAGCGCGCGCAAATCCGCAACATCCTCGTCCACTCTGCTCGCACGCTCCCATGGCCTTCGCAACAAACTCCGCTCTCCAAGAGGTCGCTACAGACAGCGGTAGCAATACTTCATAATATTTCCGTCGCCATCTCTCAAGACCCTTCGAACAGCTTGCGTTACGGTTCCAGCATCCTGACGACCCGCAGCCGCAGCAAAGAAGCCTCTGGTCTACGAAAGAGTTGATATCTCTGGGTTGGTCACTACCTACCCTGAAGCCAGGAGTCTGAAAACATCCGAGGACTGCCAGGCACCCTACTTTCCGATCCGACATAATCCTCTCTAGTGCTGAGTGCTCGGCTTGCCCATGACGTAGTGCAGTATGCTGCAGTTTTCAAGCTCCAAGGCGTCCATGTGCTTTGGATTCTTCATGGCATGCTGGAGCACCTCAGATGGGGTCTTCACGAAGCGGCAGAGGTTTCACTCATCGACTGAAGTCACGTGGATCAACTGCTATCAGCCTCTGCAACACGCAGGCAAGCAGCCTCCGACATGCGGCATGCGCTACATTTCGTAGCACCCGCAGAAACCAGCTAAGTGCTCTAGGTCCTAAGGCGTACGCAGCATCCTCTGTGTGTTACCTGCACTCACGACCAAAGCCTTAATGGCCGAAACCTGGGAATGCCAGGTCACGTTAAAAGCCGATGGCAGAGATCGTATCCGCCCACGGAAGTAGCTATTGAGAAAGTCTTGTTCAGCGAATGGCCTCAAGCACTGCTCTGTTTGCAGCGGGCGTTGGAATCGCGTGTCGGGGTCGACTGGCTCCTAGCTTCCTGTTTGGAGCCCATGCAATATGTCCGTCCAGGGAACATTGCTTCTGGGAAGAAGTGGGCGGCATTCGGCTGGGCATCTCGCCTGACAACGGCTACGTGCCCTCCGCTGCTTGCAGCTTTGCAAAGTTTTCATCCAAAAGTCGCACACACACACACACACACACACAACATTCGCTGCATTTCGACTGCATGCTGCGACTGTTGCAAACAGAACAGTAATTATAATTCACCTGAATTGAAGGGACCCTGTGTGCAACAAAAAGAGCGGCAACTTGGGCTGTTAGATTAAAGGGCAAAGTGGCTCTGCCCACTTGGCCAAGGCTTCTCTCATCTTGCCGAGCTCCAGCATACTCGGTCGGAAACAGAGCAGCCCTGCGTTGACATAGAGGCCTCTGCCAAGAGAGGACGAAGCTTCAGAAGAACTGCCCAAGGCAGGATTCCGAGAAGCGCCTTCTCTCGGCCCCAAGGTGTAGTTGCAGGATTCCGACCGCCAACACTCGCAGGAAGGCACGGCACCCAACCTCAAAACGCGCATGGCATCGGGCACCGAAGTTGCCTTCAGTCGCCTATGGCAAGCAGTGTCACTGAGCAGTGGGCTGCCCTTCTTCAGGCATGAAGTCCAACAGCCCGGCAACATCACCCACTGCCAACATGTCCGAGTCCAGATAGAAGATGACATCATATTCCTCTGCGGCACGAGAAGTGGCGCTCGGACAGGCAGTCTAGAAAGGATTCTTGCATCTTTGGGCCATGGAAAACCATCTTCCGTGAGCAGTACTCTAAGCCTCTAAGCTTGAAGGTGTACGAGTAGGGACTCAGAGCCGGACCTCCAGAGCCCACAGGCCGAGCTTTCGCCAGCAAAACCGGAAATGTGGCCTTTTTCGCTTTCGCACGCTGCGGCAGCAACCGCAACGGCGAGAATGCAAGGACCGCTGTGAGAGCATCACAAGCATCTGAAAACCCAGGTATCTGGCATCAGCGGTTCGCCTGCTTGCTGCGGTGGGGCTACTTTCGGGAGGTCTTCCAACTCGCGAACAGAGACACCTGGCAGATCCATTGCGAGTCGAGGCAACTACTTTGTCATGCCTGGAAGATCCTGGAAGCCTGCCACGAACGCACGCTCCGCCTGGCACCACTGCCAGCTCTGCATCGCTAAAGACTACCACGTCCACGTCGTCTGGCAGTCGGGTTCGCATGCTCGCCTGCAGTGTGTTGCATCTCTCCGTTGCTGTGGCGACTGTAAGCACCCACATCCGTCGCTGCCCAGCCACAGACATCACCAGCGCACCCCGTCCATAGTCTTCTGTGGCCAAGCTGACAAAAGCAGTTCGCCGCCTGACCGGAGCGGTCACTGTTTGAACGCACCAGAGCTCACACCAGGCCTGGGAGAAGTACCGACGCCCACTTCGCCTTGCCAGGCTATGCCAGAGGCTGGGACCTAGCCATGGGCCATGGGCTATGCCTTCGAGACCCAGCCCCGGCCTTGGCCTTGACCTTGGGCTTGGGCTGGCGAGCGCGAGCGCGATCTGGAAGGCGCCATGGCAAGTGGCCATGACCCGACAAGATGTGTCAACTGCCGGCCGAAGGGTCTGTGCTTTTCCGCTAGACCTAACCCTGTGCTGCAAAGATAGTGCAGAGTTGAGCATCTAACGCTTCTCAAGCAAACCAAATTCTCTCTTGTCACAGAGCACGTATCTCCCCGTGCACTCGGGCCGCAGAACCGGAATGCAGGTCAGGTCCTGCTTGTGCAAGGTGGTCAGCAGGCTCACCTGCAGAGCAAACCAGGGCCAGGCGAAACTAGGAGTTCCTTCAGGGCACAATTTCTTGCAATAGGCAGAGGTACAAAGTGACCCTTGGGTTCCTTAGGCCTTAGGGGATGAGAATATGAAACAACGTTTGTAGTGCCGCATGCTGTCTCGAGCATGAACCCACAGGCCCTGGTCATAAACCCCAAACCCTGAGCGTCCGTGAGAAGCAAAGCCCCAGCCGCCCCAGCCCAAGATCTTCTGTGGGTTTACGTATTGAAAGCCTGCCGGATCAGTAGTGAAGGAATGTCAAGTTAGGGTCATCTGGTTGTATCTTCCGCTTGAGAATATTTGAGCTCAGGGTCGCGGCCCAGTGAGTCTCATTGGCCAATGCAAGTTTTCTGTCTTGCTTGCCTGTTGGTGTCTGCCCGATTCATCTTGCCGAACATCTATCGACTTCTCGTCTTGCCTCCTCTGTGTGCTGCGCCTCGAGCTGCGCCAAGGCGCCTGCACACTCTGCCTGGGTCAGCAATGTTGGCTTCGGGAGTCTATTCTATGCGGCCCCTAGAATTAGACTCCCAACGATGACAGGTTACATTGTAGTCCAAGCCCGACATACCACAACCTATTCCAGAAGGGGCAAACTTCGCAAAGCCGACATTGGCCACCCCCACCGGGTAGCAGTGGCAGTAGCAGTCACAGTCGCTGTGGCAGTGGCAGTAAAAGCCGCAGCAGAAACAATAGCAGTTGCTGCTGCTTCTGTTGTTGTAGATGTATAGATGCAGTTGTAATGTGATGTGACTGTCGTTGAAGAAGAAGAATTGAACATCGGATGCGTTTGGAATCTCCGGTGTTCGTCAACAGTTCGAGAGACTTGCGGTCTATGTAAATTGGAGAGTCTGAGCAATCGAATGTGCGGAACATGTCTGAAAGGCTTTCATTACAAATGAAGCAACGAAGAAACGATGTGAATCACCGGAGTGCTGCTCTCGTGGTGCCAGATCATAACTGCTGCAGGCACCTCGTCATCCTCCAATTCTGCGAGCTTGGGCAAGCCTCCAGAAACTGGTGCTCAGATAGGCTTCCTCAACCCCAACGCCCACGGCGAACCTTCTGCTAGCTCCTCCTTGCAAGCCGCCATCTCCTCCTTCAACCGTACGAGGTCCTCGCTGCACGCCTCGGGGTTCATCACGGCATCACGGTCATCCTCACCATGCACCTTCTCTATCTCTATAACAAGACCACTCAGGGGGTCTTGGCCGCAGCCTCCCAACGGGCCCAAACCCAAACCGGCCTGGAGCTGGCTCCGCAAAACTTCCGACTCCATAAAGCGTGCGATGACCGGCGCCGCTTCTTCTCGCAGCTGTCTCACTGCAACCTCTAGGAAGCGGTGAGCAGAGGCGAGGTAAGGCCAGTCATGGATGAGGGTAAAAGGAAAAAGGCGCCTCTACCTCAGCGCTTCGCTGCACGGCCTCGAACGAGCATGTGCGAAGGCTGCAAGCACGAGCGAATCGAAGCTTCTGCCCAGGCTTCCCCGCCAAATCCCGATCCCGCTCGGCGCGGCGGACTCTGCGGAGGAGAAGCGTGTGCTTCTCCTGCTCTTGCTGCGCGACTCGGTACTTTTGCTCTGTCCCTCGGGTGGCTGAGATTTTCTTTCCTGGCCTCCAAGCTGTCAGCCTTCTCCTGGAGCCAGAAGCACTCCATCGGACAAGAGAATACGAAGAATTCTGGCACGAAACAAACTCAAGTGTAAGATGTTCGGTTCGGCGCATGGCATAAACTGCGGAAGTGCGACTCCTGCAGCTCTGCCAAGAGCAGCTCACTGTCACGGAGCTCCTCCTGGGGCTGCTCAGTCAGGAGAGCATCGGAAAGTGCATTCAGTCCAGTGGATTGGAGTGGCGAATTGCAACAACTGTGAAATGGTCCGGTGATAAGCAACATGTTGCAAACAGAATTTGTCCCTTTGCCCACAGCCACATCGAGGCGTTCTCCTGCAGCGCCTCCACCACTTGCCGAACCTCGCATGCACCGAAGCCGCCGCTTCTGGCCAACAGAAAGCGAGTTCCAAGAGTCGTGCCTGGCTGAACACTTCAGCCTTCGCATCCTCGGACCATTCACCTGCTTGAGATTCTCATCTCCTGCCCTGCCTGCCCTAAATCAACTCGCGATCCCCTACGCTAGTGCTACTGCTACGGCTACTGCACTGCTGACGCTACTGCTGCTATTGCGGTTCCTGCTACTACTGCGACTGCTGCGACTGCTGCTACTACTTCTGCTACAGCTGCTACTGCCACGACTGCTGCCACTGCTGCTACACTGCCACTGCTGCCACTGCTGCCACTGCTGCCACTACTGCTACTGCACTGCAGCTATAGCTACAGCTCCAGCCGCTACCGCTGCCACGGCTGCTACGGCTGTTGCTGTGCTGCTGCTCCTACAAGTACTGCTACTGCTACTGCTGCTGCTGCTGCGGCTGCACCTACGGCTGTTGCTACTGCTGCTGCAGCTGCTGCTGCTGCTGCCACTACTTAATATTGCTCCTACTTTCAGGAGTTCGATGGTTCTTCTTACCACAGGAGGCGGTTTTGCTGATTGCTGAGCACGATCAAGTATGTTGCATCCGGCCTTGAAGCTCTGGCTTGGCAGCTGCGCCAAGGTGCCGAATCGCCTCGGGACCTGGCTTTTGGGGCTTCGGGCCGTTGGAAGGGCTTGGTTGGAGGCTCAAGCAGGACATCGCCGGTACCATCACCGACATTGAATTTCTCAGGGAGGCAATGCAAGCTCGGGGTCTTCGTCTGCTTGGGTGTGTCCATCATACTGTCTATGTGTGTGTATATATATATATATACATATCTATATACATATCTATATATATATATATATACACATATGTATATATTCATATATATATATATATACATATATACACATATGTATATATTCATATATATATATGTATATATATGTATATATGTATTTCGGAAGATATGCATACATATGTTTTTCTCTAGTTTTTGGCGGAGTCCAGTGCACGGGGGAGCCGGAACTGCTTTCTGAAATCGGAAATCAAACAACTTGTCTGACTTCGTGGTACTGGGTACGAGTTCTTCGTATGTGTGGCTCGCCCCACTTGTGGACCTGGTAACTTTTTTGCAGATGGGGCCCACTCCACTCGCACCCCACTTTGCCTGTATCCACAGTTGTCCCATTTGGCCCGAATGCTCACGCCGCCCGTCGCCACCTTGCCCTAAACCTTAAACCCTAAATGTTCAACCGTAAAAACCCCTAAAACCTGACTCTAAACCCTAAAAACCTAAATCAAGCCTTAAAACTCGAAACTGAAAACCCTGAAACCTTAAATCAAACCCTAAAACTCGAACCCTAAAAATCCCTAAAACCCTAAACCCTGAACGCTGAGAACCCTAAACCCGAAAGACCGAAAAACCCAAACACCGCAAACCCCTAAAGCCTTAAAGCCCTAAAACCCTAAAGCCCTAAACCGCATTTCCTAAAACCCGAAAGTTTGAAAGCCCTTGAATCCTGACACCCGGCTACCTTAAAGCCCTAAACCCAACCTTCAACTGAACCAACTGGTGCAAGTAAGGGCCTCTACCTCGCGGGCGGTTTTCGGTGTCTACGACGGGCGCCCCACTTGCAAACGGCTATCTATCTGTATCTCAGCCACAAGTGGCGGACAATGCATAGGCCGCTTAAACATAGACAGAACACAGACACACAGACAGGCGCACACACACACACACACGCACAGACGCACAGACGCACAGACGCACAGACAGACAGACAGACAGTCAGACAAACAGACACAGACACACAGACGCACAGACACACAGACACACAGACACACAGACACACAGACACACAGACCAGATACACAGACACACAGACAGACGGACAGATAGACGGACAGACAGACAGACAAATGCTACATAAAGTGCTCACGAATACTATTGCAATGCTGCAGACGGATATGTGTGTATATATATATGAAAACATTATGTGCACATTTGTATTTCTTTATCTATGTTTATATGTCGACCTATATATGCACACACCTCGGCCTTAACAGAGAGGAGAGGGAGGAATGGCGGCAGACGCATGACTGTGTGTCTATGTATGAACACACAAGACGCCTAATGTACGCATCCCAACGAAAGTTCGGAAGAAACCCTTTGACAGCGAAGCTCAAGAAGTCGGGCGGCCGAGAACACTGGCCAAGGATGGTCTTGAATCCAAGGCGAGACTGGGGCTGCCCTTTCCTTCGCCTCTGGATTTCACTGCGAGGTCACATCTTGGAGAGAGCTCATATCGAAACCCAGGAACTGCGGACAGGAACACTCGGCCTGCTTCACTCATGTAGGGCCTCTCGCAACCTCGAGTGCAGGAAGTGATGTCCGGGAATGACAGCCATCTGGCGGCGTGATCCAGGCCATCACATTGCGAGTCCCGTGAAATGATGCCGGGAATATGGAAGGAAGCTATGACTTGGGGACCAGAAGCTTCAGTTGGGGCGGTCCTTGCGGCTTTCTTGCCAGCTTGTGGTTTGACACAGCTTGCCGGAGCCATGGGGGAATCTATCCAGACTCTCCATCAATTTGTGCGGCATGAGCCAGAAAGCTGCCTCCACGACTCAACTCTGTCAAATTCTGTCCGACGCAGGACACGCTCGGACTGATTGCAGGAGCACATGATATGCAAACTCAGCACAGCTCATCATGAGACACTCGACCCTTTTGAAAAGATTCCAGCAAGGCTTGCATCCCATCCGGTATGTTTCAGCGGGACGGCACAAGGTTGATGCTGACTCGGAATTCGCATGTCCTGAGTCGACATGTAACTTGTTTTTCGGCCAGGCCGACAGCAAGAAAGCGACATGCAGACTAGAAGCCAGTCACTGGAGCAGCTTTCGGACGGGCGAGAACAAAAACGTGGGGTCATTCCTACCAGCCACATGAGAAATAGATAATCTAATATGCGGAAGAAACATGAAGAAAGCCAATTGATGGGCCTGGGAGCATAGAACCAGGTCTTGAACTCATTGACCTAGCAGAGAGCTGGCAGCTTTACGACAGGGAGCCGGGCCATCCCACGAAGCTGAGTCCGGAACTGAGAGCCTACCGTCTTGGTTGAGGTCAGCAGTCTTGAAGCATTCCAGCGATGTCACCGAAGCGAGGTCCTGCACCAAACGGATCAAGACTGTAGACTGTGGTGCGCGGAGGGCTTTGCCAGAGCTCAGTCCTCAGCTGACTCAACAGTTACTCCCATGCTGTTCATGGCACCAACGACCACCGGCGTTAGCACCACCTGTCAGTGAGTCGAGATGGAATCTCATCGTCTACGTGTATCGCTTGCGACCCCCATCTATCCACACCATGGAATCTGGCCGCTCCTCGTGCTGGCTCTGACTACCCTACCGGCCCTACCCTCCTTTTGTGGCTTTACTCGTGGGCTTGTCATCCTTGACAATAGGACGTTCGACAATAAGTCGCAAGCGACGTGACGGGTCAGCGCAGTCACAAGTCTCTTCTTATGACGTGGAATACTTCCTGCCTTGAAAACAGACGTGAGGAACTTGTACATCTCATCCAAAGAGATGTAGCCGTCGCCATTCTCATCGAAGATGCCAAAGACCGCGTGGATCTTATCATCCTGAACTATCAAGCGCTTTGCCCCATCTTGCGACGTCTCTCACCTTGACGGGTTCCCAGGCACTTCGCCCTTTTCTCCGGCCTCTGATCCGTGACAAAGTAACGAAATGCCACAGATCAATTCCATCATGTCGACCTGAGTACAGTTCCAGGTCTCCTTTCAATTCATCTCAGAGTCTCAGGCAGCCTAGCATTCCGCTCATAAAGGTCCCAGCAATGTTGTTGTCATCGCGATCAAACAAATCAAAAACCGCATTTTTCACCTTGTTTGCAACAAAGTCGAATATGAAAAATGCACACTGGCGCGGCCCGACAGAAACTGACACTCGAGTCGGTCACTTCATTGGCCGGAACCTCGATGCCCTTGGCCTCTCGGTGTCACCAAAAGACTCACCAGTGTGTGTGTGTGTGTGTGTGTGTGTGTGTGTGTGTGTGTGTGTGTGTGTGTGTGTGTGTGTGTGTGTGTGTGTGTGTGTGTGTGTGTGTGTGTGTGTGTGTGTGTGTGTGTGTGTGTGTGTGTGTGTGTGTGTGTGTGTGTGTGTGTGTGTGTGTGTGTGTGTGTGTGTGTGTGTGTGTGTGTGTGTGTGTGTGTGTGTGTGTGTGTGTGTGTGTGTGTGTGTGTGTGTGTGTGTGTGTGTGTGTGTGTGCGTGTGTGTGTGTGTGTGTGCGTGTGTGTGTGTGTGTGTGTTCTGTGTGTGTGTGTTCTGTGTGTGTGTGTGTGTGCGTGTGTGTGTGTGTGTGTGTGTGTGTGTGTGTGGGTGTGTGTGTTCTGTGTGTGTGTGTGTGTGCGTGTGTGTGTGTGGGTGTGTTCTGTGTGTGCGTGTGTGTTCTGTGTGTGTTCTGTGTGTGTTCTGTGTGTGTTCTGTGTGTGTTCTGTGTGTGTTCTGTGTGTGTTGTGTGTGTGTGTGTTCTGTGTGTGTGTGTGTGTGTCTCTGTGTGTGTGTTGTGTGTGTGTGTATTTGTGTGTGTGTGTGTGTGTGTGTGTTGTGTGTGTTTTGTGTGTGGTGTGTGTGTGGTGTGTGGTGTGTGTGTTGTGTGTGTGTGTGTGTGTGTGTGTGTGTGTGTGTGTGTGTGTGTGTGTGTGTGTGTGTGTGTGTGTGTGTGTGTGTGTGTGTGTGTGTGTGTGTCTGTGTCTGTGTCTGTGTCTGTGTCTGTGTCTGTGTCTGTGTCTGTGTCTGTGTCTGTGTCTGTGTCTGTGTCTGTGTCTGTGTATGTGTCTGTGTCTGTGTCTGTGTCTGTGTCTGTGTCTGTGTCTGTGTCTGTGTCTGTGTCTGTGTCTGTGTCTGTGTCTGTGTCTGTGTCTGTGTCTGTGTCTGTGTCTGTGTCTGTGTGTCTGTGTCTGTGTCTGTGTCTGTGTCTGTGTCTGTGTCTGTGTCTGTGTCTGTGTCTGTGTCTGTGTCTGTGTCTGTGTCTGTGTCTGTGTCTGTGTCTGTGTCTGTGTCTGTGTCTGTGTCTGTGTCTGTGTCTGTGTCTGTGTCTGTGTCTGTGTCTGTGTCTGTGTCTGTGTCTGTGTCTGTGTCTGTGTCTGTGTCTGTGTCTGTGTCTGTGTCTGTGTCTGTGTCTGTGTCTGTGTCTGTGTCTGTGTCTGTGTCTGTGTCTGTGTGTGTGTGTGTGTGAGTTGCCGCGATCTGCCTGGAGCAGTGCCGAGTAGGCCTGGATGAACCTGGCAGCTGTCTTCGGCCACAAGACGCATGGTGCAGAGATTCCGGCCGAAATTGCAACATGCCAGGCGGACTGCTCACGTGTGAGACGGCTTTCCACGGACGCTTTCTTGAAAGCCTGCAAGCCTGTCGAGTCTGACGGCACAGGTTCAACATGGTTCGACAATCTCGCTAAGGCACTGCACGCCTTCGTCCACTGGGATTTGCTTCAGCCCGCTGGTCTTCCGCAGCTCCTGTCAAGCAAATGGGTGGGAAAGGTGCGAGAGAAACTTTGCAGTGGACCTTCAGGTTTTGCAGCTGCGTATCCTTTTCGTGCTTCACCTGCAACCATCTGGTCTCCAGGCTCGTGTGAGGCTCTTGTGCTTCTCTTCGCCTCTCTCGAATCAGGCCTCGTAGGCACCCTGCGAGTAGGCCGGGCCTCCGATGGTGTTTGGCCTAGCAGCCACGACCTGAAGCAGCTCAGCCGCGCTACGCGCGTCGAAGTCGCTGCGCTTCGGCGGCTGCGGCCCGGGCTCGAGGCTGGGCGCTGATGCCTTCCGCTGGTCGGATGATTCGGGCCCCTGCTGGTAGCCTCAGAGGCGCTCGAACTTCTCTTGAAGGGCACGGGCCCCGGCTGCGCTTCCAAATGTGAGGATGGCTGAAGTCTGAGACAGAGGCGTGTTCATCAAATTCTGCGGAGCACCTGTGCACCGGATCAGGGACTCCACACCGAAACGCCAAGTAAAAAGTGGCCCCATAAGATCAGGAGGATATCGTCGGGCAACGTAGAACTGAATCGCACAACGAAGAATGTGCACAGCAAACATACGCATGCACTTGGCAGGATAAAGGATGTTTCTTTGCTCAGGACATGTCTCTTAAATCTACGATCTGTCTGCTTCTCGGGCGGGCTTCTGATGTGGGTGATGTCCGAGGCTGACTGCTGTACGAGCCTGCAAACCATACTGTGTCTTCGCACACGCTGACGATCAAAAGCAGTTCCGGGGGCTCTAACAGTTGCAAAAGAAGTCACGACAAGCCCGCAGCGAAACACCTTTTTCAGATTTTCTGGGGTGTCCTACACTCCTGCAGTGCAGAAAGTGTGACGAAATTCACCGGTTCCAGCCAGGAACAAAACAGAACACTGACGCATCGCATATGCCAGAAGGCATTGGCTTGTGCGGTTCCAGGGCTCATCTGCTAATCAAACAAACTTCCAAGTTTTCGCGCGGGATCCCCAGATCACTCCTGCCCTCCCGAAGCCAAAACTCCAGCAAACTCAACGGGAGACGGCGGGTTACTCCCGATACCCTGACAAAGCCGAATATAAGCGCATGAACCCCACTTCATGTCCGCATCCGAAAGGCATTTGATGTTTATGCGTACTACTCCACGATCAAAGTTTATGTCAACGGATGTTGCCACTTGGCATCGCGCCGGCTGCGACCGGAGCCCCGCTGACCACCACTGTGCGAACGGGAGCTTGCACCGGCTGCGGCGCCCCCTCAATTTCAGGCCCGTCATGAGGTGAAGGGGTTGAAGCCGAACGCCTGAGCTGCAGTCACCTTGGGCCGCGACCACTTGTCGAAGATTCGCTGCCGGAACAACCTTCAGGCAGAGGATGTTTTCAGGACCCGGAGAATCCCACGGCTGCACCTGTCTGGCGAAGGGCTGGCCGGCCCTCAAGGTCACCGGTGCCTTCATCCGAGCTGTGCTTCGGCACGCACAAGGCTCCAAGCAACCCCAGGCCTGGTACACCACCTGGCATTCCCACCAGAAAGCACCGAGACATGCAGTCACATTGCACCCGTAACTGACTTCGTGCCCAGGGAGGCCTTAGGCTGCTGCAGCACCTCCAGGCACGGTCTTCGTCTGGAAAAAGTAAGGCCGGGACTTGAAACGCCCTGCCGAGATCCCTGCTGGTGAGCTTGCATAGGTGTACGCGGTACTTTGCGCCTCTCAACGCTGCACATGCGAACTGACACGACATCCAAATTAACTTCATTCGAGCTTGTGCTAGGGCAGGCGGAATTCCTGTCAGGTCCCGACCATATGTTGCAGCAACCTCCGGTCAAAGCTCTCTGACCTCGGGATCGACAGTTCCGAATCCAAACAAACATCCGAGCCCTGCCACTCGGCAGCACACCGGAAGGTTCTGACAAAAAAACAGTCCTCTTAGCTTGAGCCAGAACTTCCCTAGTGCAGAGAGGAAGCACAAAAGCACAGCACCACAGGCAAGCTTTTTTTTTGAAAAACGCATCTGTGACGGTCAGCGGTAGCACCGAAAAAGCGTCGGCCTTTTTGTTGCGTCAGGGCACGGGACAGTCAGCTCACATCGGCGCATCCATCGCAGCATACAGTCGTAGAACCTCCACCTCAGCTGCCAGAACATAAAAGCAAAGAAACAAAGGACTGCTTGAAGGACTGCCTGCAGCATGCAGACAACCTTGCCCTGATGGATCAGGGCCGGTCCCCCCAAACCATGAAAAAAAGCTTCTACTGTAACGGCTTCTGCCAAAACACGCAGGTGAGGAAGCGCTCCATTTCTTTGGCATCCTGCGAAAGTATTGCAGCATAAAGGTCGCAAGATCGCCTATCAGTTGACACACAACCTCTGTCCGACTCTGCCGGGCGCCTTCATTACCAGAGTGACGGATTGCGGAACACGACCAGCATCGGCATGACTTCCTGCAAAACAGAGAGCAGCAGAAAGCTCCGCTTTGTCTCCACTGGTCTCCTTCCCCTCCCGCCCTGGGCCTCCGGAGCTCACGAGGATGCTGCGACCGACGTCAGAGCTGGATTTCCCCAGGAGGTCCTGGTGTCCGCGGCTCGCCGCGGATCCCGATCATCTTAGCAAAGCCAGCCTAGCTGGCCTAGCCTCCTGCTCGTATACAGGCAAGTGCTGCAAGGAAGTCAGTCGTGAGATCCACGGAAGCTGCACCTCGCGCACTCTCACGGCATGCATAGGAGTTTGAAAGCCTGTGTCTGTGTGGCCTATCGCTTTAAGCAGCGGACAGCAGCAAGTAGCGTTCCACTCGAGCTGCTAAACTTCAACCAGCTGACAGACGGATCCAATTTGTACACGGCCTCGCAAAGTGCGATTCAAACAGCGGGACCAGGCGAGAGTCTCCAGGGCACCCTGCCTCGACCCTACCGAGCGTCTTCCGCTCGACTACAGTACCTGTCATGCCCGGAATGTACAAGCCAGTGGGCAATGCATATCCGCTAGGAGCACAGTCGACCCCCTTCAGGGCTTCGGCAGTAAATTTGTGCACCTCGGTTGCATGGAGACACCAACATGTCGCATTGGTGAGTCCTGGAAGTCCTGCAGCCACAGTACAAGCTCGCGCAAACGCTCCTTCTTCGACTTCCTCACAAGAGATCACGTAGTCTGCTGCAGGCTGCTTTGTAGCTGACTGCGCCCGCCTCTCATCGTCAGAAGACTCGGAGGAGAAGGATGCAGCCCTAGCCTGACAGACGCGCTTGGCGTATGGACTCGGGGTCACAGTTACTGCGGTGACACGCCTCTGAAGAGGGCGCGGAGGAGCCCCATGCAGGCCATGCCTGGCCCTGGGAGCAGCTCGAGTTGCAGCTTGGCCTTTGGGACGACTGCAGAAAGAGAATTCTCTCTCTCAGCTGCTCTCAGCTGCTCTCAGCTGCTCGCACAGAATGCTTGCAGGCCATGCATGAGGCAAACAACATGGCGATGGCAATCTAAATTAGCAATGAAGGCACATACATTCCACACTCGGGTGACAACGGATGTCATCGGTGCAGTCAGCCCCCAAGGCATAAGGACCAAGCGGTGCAGAAGACTGAGCAACTACGAGATTGCTTACAGTGCAATGCGATGGAACAAATGATTCTGGTCCTTAATGTGCAGTGCTGCGGCAGAGACCTCAGAAGGGAGGAGGGAAGGGAGAGAGCGCGAGGCGCCAGAAAGGGAACTGGCGTGAAGAGACTGAGAAGCGATGCGACACCTGCAACGCCGGTACGAAGTGGAGTGCAAACATCCCATTTTCTCGCGCTGGTTCCCTTCAGGTATGGCGAGAGTATGGCTTTATTCCTCGCAGCTTCTCAACTTTCAGTCGGTCACTTCTTGCATCCATCACGGACTGGCGTACCTTCCAAGGATTGTGCACACCAGCTACAAAGACAAGGGAAGCCACAAGCTCACCGGCTCACCGTCGGCCTCTGCCATCTCAGCAGCACCGACTACACCGGAGCCGACCTGCAGAGCTTGGAAAAGCCACGGAAAAAGACCCAATGGGGGGCAATCTGCAACTTCAACTGGAGCGAACGAACATGAAAAGGGCGATAGCTGCTACAGCTACTTCGCTTGCCAAACCACATACGGCAAAGGACTCATGAACTGCATTCGAGGCCCAATGAACAAACTGCATAACTCCTACGCACATTGGTGAAAGTGGCAAGGCATCTGCAGCTTGGATGCCCGGTGTGTTCTCCTCGCTCATTAGTCCTTTCCTTCTACTATGGCTCTGGGAACTGTTGGCCGACTGGATCTGGCATTCCGAGAAGGGGCGGAGGGGGGGGGGGGAAGGCTTCGGAGAGCGTGAGGGTTGGGTGAACTACAAATTCGGAAGAGTTGTCTTCATGGTTTAACTTCCCGTTAAGTCATTTCATCGATTGTAGACAACTCTGACAAACGTGGTTCGAGGAAGTTGGTGTCAGCGGTCAGACAATTCAATTGACTATTAAACCCCCCGTCTAGATTATACATAAATTGTAACTTTCCTGCTTAGATTCGGACTTCAGGACTAAGCCGCTTAAGCTACTCAATTGCCGCATCTACATGCAGATTACTGCAAGACTTGTTCAAGAAGGTAAATCGGTGAGCTAACAATTAGCTTATCCAAACACAAGCCGCTTGAATTCGCAAACCTGTTTCGCGGTTTAGACAAGTTTGATGTGTGCGTGCATGGAAGCTCGAATCGCGGAAGTGCGGCCACAGCACATGGCACCTGTTGCATCCTGCCCGATCAGCTTGTATTGAGATCATCACCCGCGTAGTGCACGCTGCATGTTTTGGGTCTGCCACGGTTGATGTGAGAGCAATGTTCACCTGCTCAAAGGGCCGATGTTGATTCTGATTCTAGTGCTGGCAGTGACAGTTTTGACCACCATCGACATCGTTGGTATCGTCATGAAACACCAAATGGAGTGCTGCTGCCAAGGGGCGGCGGCCCACACCAGCTCCGAGCGCATCCCGTCTTTGCGAAGCGATTTCACTGCATCGCTGGTCCAGTCGAGCTCAAACTGTTGCTCGGGCACTTTGTCCGTGGAGCCAATCAGCCGAGGCTTGCCGCTAAAATCCCGATGCTCGTAGACTGCCTGAAAGGCCAAGCATGGATCCATGGATCGCAAAGAAGTTGGGGGGTTCACGGCGGGGAAGTCTGTGGTCTGTGGACACATCAGATAATCTCGGTCTCCAGCGCCGAAGTGCAGCGTAGTCTTGGAGGCTTCCAGCGCTTTGCTGGGGCGATCCGCTTGAACGCCTCCCAGCAGTATTTCCCCCTGCATCCCTTTGTGGAATGGATGTGGACTGGCCTTTAGCGCCATGCCGCTGTTCAGTCCGGCGCTGGATGTTCGCGGCCGCACGGCTTGCTACATCGTGGTCATCCTGCGAAACTCGCATGCGCCAGGGTGCTGCGCGGCACTCTCAGCGTCCTGAGCGCCAATGGCAAGGAGCGCTCTCCCCGCTGGGCCCTGCAGCATCATGGCTTTCACTTCGGTCTGAGCGTCGTTCCTGTGCCGCACAGGAAGTGCCGGGTTCCGGCTTGGGCTCTCGGGCTCTGAAGGGCCGGGCCCTTACGGCGGCCCCGGCGGCCCCGGGCCTGGATCTGTCAAAGAGCCGGTGCAACGCAGGGCTCTCTGCCAAGGCACGCGGAGCTGCCAACCTCAACTCTCCGTCCGTCGGCCCGTCCTTGACTCTTTGGAACTCAGCCTCCGACTTCTGGCCGCTGTCGGACTTCGCTATCGCCGAACTGGAAGCTGTGGACCTCCTTACGCAGACAATCTAGGGCATCACCATGGCGTATTCGTAACAGACTCAGGATCAGACATCGGATTCAGCATCTTGCCCGAGACTGTGTAAACCATCCATGGCGAAGGCACATGTGAGACTGGGACATAGTCTTGGTCACTGATCGAAAACATACCTTAAACACCACTGCTGAACCTGTGATGCACACATCATATGCACATTACTTTCTGCCATGCGGAGCTGCTGGGCTGTGGCTGCAACATACTTCCATTCCACAGCTTCGCAGGAAGAAGCATGACTTCCTGAGCTCATAGACCTCACGGGCAGCCTAAACCGTCCCAATGATGATACAACTCACCTGACCACTGCATCCTAAACTCGGCAAGGAGCCACTCAGCACAAAGATCGAAACTTTAAGTTCGACGAGTTTCTCGCTACACCTCATGTCCCTTCCTTGCGTATCGGCTCTCAGTGTTGGCAGCTCTTTCGAAGAGGTGCTGAAAGGAGTAAGCTGCAGAGCTGCTCCGACTATGCAACGGCTATGGGAAAGTCATCCGGAAACTTTGAAAGAATACAGAGCAAGAGGACTACACGGAAAAAAGATAAAGTAATGGCGCACTGTAGCGATCTCTTGAGATGCGGTCACCCGTTCCAAGCCACTTCTTGCTTTCCGGAACGCTGCAGCTCCACTTTGCCGAACCGTGCTAGATAGTTTGACGCTTCGAGCGATTCGTCGCAGGTTTCTATGCCTCACATGTATCTTCTCATACTTTTGGTTCCGCAAGTTTCCGCAGAACTCGGGACCGTTCCGCCGCTCTCGTTGAAAGAACATGTCAGCTCTGAAATGCAGACTGCTAGCTTCAAAACTGCTGGTGCAGGAACCAGAAGGAAGTTTCTCCAAGCGTCCAAGCCATCAGGCGCCGATTTCCAAAAATTGCCCATTGTTCTGTCTTTAAACTTGAGCAGAACCAGTGGCTTGCTGTCTATGTCTTGGGGCGTAAGTTCCCAGAAATCAGATCCTCGGCCAGTCTCTGAACTGACTGGCCTTTGTGTTCACCATAGGCACAATGCACGTTGACACTGTCGTGAGGGTGGCGGATTTCGTGCACATCCACCACTCTTAAGTTGTCTTTAATCTTGTTCAGGACGCTGAATACTTTCTCTATGGGATCATATGTGCATGTGCTTGTTCGCGAGGACACGCACCAAGCAGGCCATCGGATCGGGCAACTGCAGCACGAGTTTGCAAGCAAGAGGTGCGGGCACTCCAGTTTCTCCTTCGAAGTTGGCATCGTCATAAACGACACGCCTGAGCTGCAAGTCATCTCTGTTCGTTTGCTGATGTTCCTGCGCTGCCTGTAGCTGGGCATTGCCGAACACCGCTACACGGACTGATCGAGCTGGTGGTGTTTGGACGAACTTGATGACTACCAACGGAGGGATTTTGTCCAGTCTTCCCTTCTGGAGGTCATATACCATTTCCTCACACATCTCTTGTAGGGTTGCACCGCCCGAGGTCTCCATATCGCGAACAAGCATGGTCTCGTACTTTTCGACCTTGCGCTGTCGAACCCGGAAACGTTTCGCTTCCTCGCTGATGTTCTCAAGCATTTGTCTTCGCAGCCTGCTCATCAGAGCCTGGCGAGTTGGTGGACTCCTTGCTCTGCCAGGCTCGCGACGCCTCTCGCCTGAAGTTTGACGATTCGTCGCGGAGTCCTCGATATGCTTGTCCTCCACTGTCACTTCCGAATCTTGTCGGACAAGCCGGAGGTGGTGGTGGCTGCGGAAGTGACGGCAACGCAAGCAGCTCGTCCACCAAAGCTGCACTGCCTGAAGTCTCATGTGGCCACAGTCCCCAGCGCGCCACTCTTCTCCCAAAACCCGTCGTTCACCATCTGTGCGTGTGTCGAAGTCGAAGTCCAGCTCATGGGAGGCTTCGGTGCGGCTGGTAGGGACAATCGTTTCCAACGCCTGCAAGATCTTCCTCGTTGATCATGCTGTCAGCCTGTTTTCTCTCATATCCGAGCCAGAGCCTAAGTGGATGAGCTGCTTCTTCTCCAAGCACTTCTCCATCCGACTTATCACGGATGGCACGGCCATCAGAAGGTGGAGGTCCCTTCTTAACTCATCCTTCTGGTAAGCTTTTGCATCTTTCAAGGCATGGGCGATCTATGCTGAAGAGGGCTTACATGGCTTCTTTGCAAAGTCCTGGTGGCGGCCAGTGGCAGCAAACCTCAATGTCTGGCGGTGACTTGCTCAAGAAGGAAGGCACCGCGGCGCTGAGTGCCAAGAGCATCCTTCTTGAAATTCTTGAACAGGGTCTACAGAATTAAAAGCTTGGACGCAGAAGATGTCGTCAGACACAAAGGTTCTGCAGAGTCCTGTTTCTTGCATGTTCGGACTCTCCGGCTTCGACAAGCGGGCTATGAAGCAGAGCTGAAGCGAAGGCCTGCTGGTGTCCGTGTCTCCATTTCGCAACCATGTCTCTGAAGGACCCTATCCATCCCTATCCACCTGCGCGACCTCCGGCGACCTCCGGACGCATCTCCATGCTTTGCGATAGAACAAGGACAGTCTGTCAAAGGAAGTCTTTGGGATCCTCGGCTGCAGGGGCAGCAACTTGACGCCGTGAATGCAGGACCTGGGCCTCCGGCCGCGGGCGCAGCACTGAGCCTGGGAGATGCGCTGCGCGCGGGCCGGCTGGGCTCCTCTGACGAAGCGACACGGGACACGTGTGGCATCGTGTGGCCTTGGCCTTAGATCAATTAGAAGCTTCGGCTCCTGAGCACAAAGCTCTGAGGGCTGCGTTTCGTCGCCACCCGCACCAGGCTCCTGGCAGAGCCCCGTGCAGTGCGACCAGCAGAGCGCCGAGAGCATCAGAGAGCCTCGGCCTCGCACGTGCCCAGCTCCAGCTCGCCTGCGAGAGTCTCTCGAAACACTTTGGACTGAGAGCACAGCCGCGGAGCCCGTGTCCTTCCGAGCAAATGGCTTGGTAAGACCAGGAGCCCAGGGCACCCACGGAACTGCCAGGTTCAGGCTGCAGTGCCAAGGGCCATTTCTTGCGTGCGCAGAGCCAGAGCCACCTCAGTGTGCTGGAGCCCAGCTTCCCGATCGAGTCCAGGGCATTTGCACCTCAGCACCCGCTTGGGCACTGCAGGTTCGTCGGCTGTTGGTTCTTGGACCCTGGCTCCAGCTCACCCCAGCACCTTCCCCGCCCAAGTATGCTCCCAAGAGCTTTTGAGACACCGCTGTAAGTCGAGATAAGTTCATGACACACGGTATCCATCCCAATCAGCAGCGCCTCGTCGACAGAAGCACAGCCAAGCATGATTCAAGTAGCAGGCCTGGGAACTGGGGCAAGGACATCGAGCACGTCGGTGCCCAACATGGAATCCAGGGCTGTCAAGGCCCGGAATAACCTGAGAAAGCCCCCTCAAAACTGTCGGATGGGCAGCATTCTTGGCCCGACCTTGAAGCAGATGACTCCTCCAGTATGCCTTCCTGGATCAGGATCTCCATCAGCTGCCTGTCAAGACCGACAAGGAAGGAGTCCTCAGCCTCCCCGCTCCTTAATCGCCTCCTCCGGGAAGGGGCCAAGTGCAATACCGCCCTTGCCATGCTGATGGGGGACAGGACCAGCTGCGCCTCCGCAACGGCTGCCTCGGAGGGTTCGAACGGACAAAGACGTGACTTGTTCAACCAGTCGGGCCTGGCCGATCAGATCCAGCTCCGTATCGGGAAGCCTGCGTGGAGACAGATCGACACTTGGAACCTGGTATATCCTGGTATACTGAATGCCAAGACCCTCGCACTGCCATGGCGGACACGGCAATTTGCCACACCCTTGCACCTCCAGGAAGGGAGTGAACGGAGACAGGGGCACCCTCCGAACTCAACGCCTCTTTCCTGGCGTCGAGTGGCTCGAATGGTCTCCTCGGCAAGGCTCAAGAATGCCACGAAGCACTGCGGCCTACCACTACTGGCACTAAAGGAAAAAAGCGATGCAGGAAAACCATCCGACCATGTTGGTCATGTGCATGCGGTTTCCTGATGCCCTGCTGATCGAGACCGCTAGAGCTCAGCAGACAAAGAGTGGTCGTCCGTCCGGTGAATGAGTTGGTACATGTAGCCTCTTCGGGTTCCATCCCGTTTCCGGTCAAAGTGCCTGGATAAATCGTTTGGCGTGTTAATTAACTGTGTTGGCATAGACAGGGGCATGATGAAAATAGAAGCTGAACCGCTCGAGCCCGTAACCAATGATTTGCTGGGGCACAGGCCTCGCTTGACGCCGCTTCGTCGCACGCTACGCCCAGCGCCAGCATCTGCTGCCTTTCCTGCGCACAAACACACTGCGTACGAAGTAGTGAGATGGCCAAGGGCGCCTCCCACCATGACCGGGCCAAGTGCACGTCGATCAACAAGGCGAGGTGACGGGCCTGGAGATGACTGGGATACTCAATCTTGAGAAAAGCAGGTGCTGGCCTGCCTGGACTTGCGCAGGCAGGGACGCCCCTCCTTGCACCGCCAGTCGGCACAGCTCTTGTCGCTGACCAGCATCCATCGCCTGGGCAGGGCGAGCCCGCAAAGCCAAACAGACGTCGCAGAGCGGCGATGCGCCGAGTGTTTGGCTAGCCACTGCCATGTCCAGGCCATCAGCCGCTGCTCTGCTAAAGCTGCGGCAGAGGCCTCCCAGAAATGGTGAGAAATGAAGGGGGGGCGCGCGCGAGGTGCTGATTTGCGGGCGCCTGGCCTCCGATCGGCGACAGAGGAGCTTCCGCATCAGCCGCAGCGTCGTTCGTGACACCTGCAGGCTTCACGGATCTGCACGGTCTCCAGACTCATCCAGACTTTGCTCACCCGGCCTCATCGGGGGGCAAACTCAAGAAGACCGGTAAGTCCGGAAAGTCATCCTGCTGGCTGGAGACTCAAGTCTTCCCGTTCTCACTTGGATCAAGATGTGATTTGGTCCTCGACTTCGGAGCCCTCAAACTCTGCGGCCACCACCTGGCCAACAGGCCCAGGAGCTGAAGGCAACACATGTAAGATGCCGCCCACGCCTGAACCTCATTCGCGAGTCTATCAAGAGCACGCCGGGCCCTTGCAATCTGGACTTCTGCTTCCTGACCACCATCAGTCATTTTGCAAATTGAAGTGCTTGCAAGCACTAAGAAGTTTGCCACTCACTCCAAACCTACCGATTGTGCAAGGGCACCTCCGGTGGGCCTGATGACGCAGAGTCGGCATTGGACCTCAACCACTACGACAATAAGGAATAAATGGCTGGCAAGGGCACGCAGTTCTGGGCACACAACCCCATCTGGGTGCCGAGTGTACGGCTGCCGGATCGAAAGCGACATGTGGCACATTTTGTTGCAAAGATACACATGGTGTTGTTGCTTCTCTGCCTGTCTGTCCAGCTGCATGACAGATTGTTCGATATGTGTACATCACCGGCCAAACGGCTGCCACTGCGGGCAATGCGGTCAACTGCACACGGTGTCTTGTGACACACGGCCGCCATGTCATCGCCTGCCTGCTCTTTGAACTTCTGCCACTACCCCGCCCCGGGCTTCTGTGAGCATCGGCATTACGCCAACGATTGCAGGCTCATGCCAACGAGGCCCACTCGCGCATAGCAGAAATCTGCATGTCCATTTGCAGGCAACTCCATCTTTGGAACCAACGAACATGTGCAGTGTAGACAGTACAGTATATATGCATCGGGAGAAGCCTGTTCTAATTTGCTGCAAGCGTCTTCAGCTGGACCTCTGATCTCGATACAGTTGAGGAGGAGGTTACAGCAAAAGCATCTTGCAGACAGTCCGGTTTGCAAAGGGCGACAGCCAGAGGGGTTCCGAGATTCTCTAGTTCGCAGTCTGACAATCACTTGGCAGTTTTTCATCTGTTGCACAAGTGCATGTTGTTTAGGATATCCCTCCGAGATTGGCCGTCTGCAAAAAATGCGCTGTTCCAATTACAGTACTGCAGCAGCTCGCACAGGCGTGGGGACCTTCACTACGCCACAAGCATCGTACCACCACTTGCTGCAGAAAACTGAGGGTCTGACTCCTGCCGATGTTGGGTCATGCACATGGCTGTCCTGCAGGAAAGCGGAGATAGAAAAAACTGTCACCCGAAGCGGTTCAACATGCTGTCGGCTGCCTGCTTTCCCTTCGTGGGGGTCTTCAGTGGCACCTCGGACATCGTGCGAACATGAGCGTTGGATCTCAGTCCCAAGTGGGGCATAGACAACGATCAAGCAACAAAGGTGGTCCACGTCTCATCCCCATCACCACAGCTGCAGCAACCGCATCCACTCGACTACCAGGTATGTCAGTGGGAAGCAGCAGTAGCGACGACGATGAGCAGCTTGCAGTTTCAATTGCAGGAATGCGGCGGTGTCGCTCATGTGCAAAAGCAGCTTCAACGTAGAGACTTCTCACACTGAAAAGACCTGCTTGAAATTCGGATTCAACCGACGGTTTGTCTTCCACCAACTTCCTGAAAAGGAATGCAACGGTGATTGCTGAATGGATCCAAAATTATCTGATTCTGATGGATTTTGTTTCTTTGTAATTTTTGTTGTTGCCTTTCCTGTTGTTTGTCTGAGGGTGCGGGAGGTTGCCGGGGTGCTGAGGGTATAGGGGGTGTGGGGGTTGCGTGGGGGTGCGGGCGCCCTTTTGGCCACCACGCCCGTCCGCAATGCCGAATGCCGAGCGTGTGCAATGGACAATCCGGATGGCAATGGAAGCAATAGTGAATACTAGCATATAAGCCTAATAATAAAGTACTACATACGAATATCAGAGGAATTGGCTGGAGAGGGATAGCCTATTCTGGCAATTGCCTATAACAAAGAGTACAATGCAAAGGGGGCAAAACAAAAAGCAGAAAACAAAAGAAAACACAAAAATACAAAGTTGCAAGCAAAGCAAGCAGCAAAAAAACAAAAAGCAAACAAAACATAACAAAACTGATTACAACAAGAAAAACAACAAGCAAATCCAGCATCAAAAAAGGCGAACACCACAAAAACAAAACATACAAACCAAAATAACAAGCAAAGCGAGCAGCAAGAAACAGAAAGCAAAGACGGAAAGATTTTGCTTCCCAACGCTGGCGGTCGCCCCTCCTTGCTAACGTTGGTTCTCCTTTTTTGGTTGCAAATTCCGTAAACTGCAGCATCTTTCTCCTGCTTTGCACAAAACTATTAAGGGAATTACACTTTGCAGCGTCCTGTTTTACCCAAGCTATTGGGGAATTACAACTTGCAGGGTCTTTTTTTGTGTCAAGCTATTGGGCAATTACAATTGGCAGGGTCCTGTTTCGCCCCAAGCTATTGGGGGATTACAATTTCGAAGCTCATCTCTTGTGTCACGCTATTGGGCAGTTACAATTTGCAGGGTCTTGCTTTGCATCAAGCAACTCTGCATTGCAATTTGCGGGCTCCCGTCTTGCGTCTGTCTATTGAGGAACTACAATTTGCCGCGGCGATTATCATATTTCTTGAACACGCCCCCTGATCTGACGATTCCGATTCATGATTGGTCATACATCTTAATCAAACACGTTCCTTTATATGGCGATTTCGGTTCATAATTTCTCTGCACGACCCCTTCATGGGGCGATTCCGGTTCATCATAGATCTTAGACACGCCTCCTCATTTTTTGGCGATCCGGGTTCATCACATATCTTAAACACACCCCCTCGTTACATATCTATAAAAAGGCACCTGAATATTTCACGATCCAAGTTCATCAACCTTAAGCCCGCAACCTCATTGCAACATTCCGATTCTGCACATTTGCTAAACCCGCCCCCAACTTTTCACGGGCCGCAGCCTGTGGCGCGCGACCCGAGGCACAGCCAAAAACAGAAGGGGGGGTTGGGGGGCCGCAGCCCCCCCATCTGCAACATTCTGCAACCGTCAGGGGTTCTGAAAGGATCCTTCGGAAGTCTATAGCTGCTGGCAGGATGTGATTTTGAAGAGAACTTGTGCGGCTTAAACAAGCTGGACGGGGGAATGACGCAAAGCAGCGCAAGACACGGACTGACTATTTGCGAAGGATTGCCGATGGTGTCTTGATGCATGGCTGGCGAGGTCGAGCGAAACTTAGAAAGGAGAGAGGGCAGCCATGACTTTGCGTTCCGCAAACAGACACACTCACACACACATACGTGTATTTAACAAACACTCTAGAGAGACTGTCTCGTTGTCCTTGCTGCTGCTGTTGCTGTTGCTGTTGGTGTTGGTGTTGGTGTTGGTGTTGGTGTTGGTGTTGGTGTTGGTGTTGGTGTTGGTGTTGGTGTTGGTGTTGGTGTTGGTATTGGTGTTGTTGTCAATCGTTATTGTTGTTGTGCCGCTTGTTGGTGATGTTGTTGTTGAGCATATATCTTAAACACGGCCCGTCATTAGGCGATGCTGGTTCTTATATTTCTTAACCAAGCTCCGTTATGTGGTGATTTCGGTCCATCATATATCTTAATTGCGACCCCTCCTTTCATGATTCCGGTTTATCAGAATCATGTATCTTGCACACGCCCCTTCCTTTGGCGATTCCGGTCCATCATATATTTTTGAACATGCCCCGTCATTTAATTTGACGATCCAAGTTCATCAATACCTCAAGCCCGCCAGGACCGAGGGACGAGGACCAGGGGACCAGTGGGCCAACCCTACCAGGGACCCCAGACCAGAGCCAACCTGAGGAAAAAGAAAATACCGGGACCCGAAAGCAAAAACTAAAGCAAAACACCAGCAGCCACACAAGCAAAGAATACACAAGAGGGCCAAGCAACGACAAGCAAGAGTACCCAGCAGCAGGCAGAAAGAAAAAAGAACAAAGCAAAAAACAAGTAGACAAAAGCAGTCAAGCAGCAAACAGAAAACAAAAAAAGCAACAGAAAGCTAAGCACGAAACAAAATATACAAAAACTCCACCAAAAATGTGAAAAATAACATATAATTCGAAACGAACATGCAGGCTCGCACATTCCTCACTTTTCAGCTGCAGTGGTGAGCAGTGAGTTGTCGAAGACCGTACTCCTAAGGAGATGGGTCGAGAAGTGTATGTAGAAATACACTTCAGGATCGGGGCTCACAGACACCCCTAGCCCCCTCGAGGGAACAAGTCCCAACAATGACCCGATTCCCTTCATTCCGCAGGAGAAATCCGGGAGGATTGGTGGGGACAAAAACTAAGAGACAGCTGAAAGATCTGAAGTGGAGCCTGAAGCTGCGGCCAGCAGAGTAAGTTTCAGCTCGCAAATGGGCCCTGCCCAACCAACCTACAATTTGCGAAGACAGGATTCCTTGCAGAATGCCAGCACGCGCTCGAACAGCCGGGAGGGTCCGAGTTCCGATTCGCAGGACGACGACGCATTTCCCGTACCGGCTGGCCCTTGGCAGATTCGGGGCTTCCGGCTGTCGGCTTCCGGGTGTCGTGCAAAGGATTCGGCAGACCCCTGCTTGTCTGGCATTAGTGGTTTTGCAGCTCGTGCCTCTTGCTCTGGCAGGGCTTCCAAGCTGTTGTTTCAGGAGTTCAACTTGTTTGTGTTTGGCGATGTCAAATCCACCCTGGGGGTGCGCATCGATTTCTTCAGAAACGATGCGAAGCCTTGCTTGGAGCGAGCTCAACACTCATGCGGAAAAGGAGATGAAGCTTCCACAGTTTGCGTTCGGCAGGAAGGAATCTACACCCGGCTGATCCAGATTTGCACAGGGCGGGCGAGACTGTTAGCTTGTCAGGGGTTCCAGGAGGTGCCATCGAGATTCGGAACTGAGGCTTTCATCCTGCATGGCAAATTCCGTCGAGATCTATGTACCCGTAATCCTGACGATCGGTTGAAGAAAGAAGTTAAGCTACACTTCACAAACAGCTGCGAGAAACGTCGTAAGTGAGGTTTCGCCCCTAACTCCCGAAACTGCGTCTGCAGTGTGCGAGAAGCTGCGTGTAACGCTCCAATTGAACTTCAGGGCACATCTGTGGCGCTGGACGAGCACGTGGATATTCGTGTTCCACCGTCTTGCTGCCATGAACAAGCATTCTCATGTTGCGTGCTTTGTTTGGAGGCTTCTTCCTGGAAAGCTGTCACAGAAAGCGAACATGCATCTACTGTGTTAGTGCTGCCATGGCTCCACCGCGATTTCCGGCTCTTGCAGGACCTATCAAGGCCAGCGTTGGAAATGTTAGCACATCTCTACTCGTGTCAAGTGCAGAGCGCAAAACTCGGTGCAGAACTACATCTGCCTTGAGCGATGCCATTGGACCGTGTCTGAACTGATGCAGTGCTTCGTTGGTAGCCTGAGCGAGGCAGACAGGAACCACGGTGAAGTCAACTTCGACACGGACGGCATGCCTTCAGCTCACGCTCGAACTGGCGAAGCTCCTGCGAAATCACAAAACAATACAGAGCACGGCCCATCTGAGTGAAGCACAACTCTTCCAAGCTCCTGCTCGTTTTCTTGAAGGCACTCCAGAGCGGCACCCTCCGCACCTCCCGGGGCAACGCGTGGGAATCGACGGGCCACAGAGGCCATGCAAGGCCCAAAAAGGCCTTGAGCCCAGCGGAGCTCCAGCTCGCAGAGGCGCAGAGCATGCGCGCTCCTGCTCTGTGCTGCCCGCGCCTGGGCCAGGCCAAAGATGCCACGGCACAGCATGGCACAGCATGGCACAGCATGGCACAGCCCAGTCCCCGCTTTCGGCCTGGACAAAGGCAGACGCGGCAGCCTCCTCGGACACGCGAGCCTCCTGTCCGCTCCCGCTCGGAACGGCCGCCGTGAGTCGCTGTGATTCGATGTGGCTCTGAGCCTCGACAGCCAGCTGCTCAGCTTCTGCCCCGGGCAAGGCCTGCAAATAGCTGGAGTGGATTCGAGAGGGTGGCGGCATCCACCCGTCCACCCGTAACCCGTCGCTGCACCTCCAGAAGCCTTGAAAGGGCTCCGTGGAGCTGCTCCAGGACGGCCTTGTCGAAGCTTCCTCTAGCCTGGCACGCCGAAATTTCCCCAGCTGGCTGTCGCATGCTGTCGCACGCACCTCTGCAGGCAGCTTCAGGGATGACAAAGCTGCCGTCTTCAGGGAGTCTTCCAAGGCCACTTCGCCCTGCCGCTGGCTCGCGCTCGACGTAACATTTCACGAAGGGGCCCGCGCCAGCAATGCAGACACCGTCTCGTCTCGAGCCTCGCGGAAGCGGCTCGCGGAGGCGTTCACGCCGCTCGCATCCGCTCGCGGGTCTGAGCTCTTTGCCACTTCGCCCTCCAGGATGCCAGGCAGCCTTGGACGGCGCGAAACGCCGCCGCGGCGCAAGGCGCGCAGCGAAACGGCCCCGACACCGCCAGAGCTTGCTGCAGCTGGTCCTTGCAACCAGTTGCCTCGAAAGTCGGCTCCAAGCTCGAAGTGCTTCTGCCAGCGGCTTGATGTGGCCGGGGCCTCCCTCAGCTTGGCCTGGCATCGGCGCACATCCTGCGCATCACGACACTGACATGGAGGGGTTCGACCGTTCGAGGGGACGGGGACGCCTGCGCCGACTGGTCCAGAGCTCTGCGGCGCTGCTGCAGGATTTGGTTGTCTGCCAGGAAGGTTTCCTGATGTCTGCAAGAGAGCCGGCCGAATTCTGGGCAGGTATTTATGGCAAGCCTTGGCTTTGCGAAAGGCGGAGATCGTCTCAGTGAAGCCCTGATTTTGCAGATACATTTTATGAAATTGCGGAAGTTTGCCAGATGTCCCGACCTCCTTGGAAGTTCGCAGCTTGCCTGCTCTTTCCTGATGCTATATTGTTCAGGCCACGAAACAGAGCCAGATCCCTCCACGACATCAGACCCATCTGCCTGCGCATCACTTCTGCATTTGTCCGCCTCGAACGGTTGGTCCCACAACTGCGCAACAGCTCCACTGCTGCTCCCCAGCAGCGCCCGAGCCTTGTCAGCCGCTTCCCGGCTGCGCGCCTCAAGAACCTCCTCTTCATCTTGAAAGGCCTGCAGCACTCACAGCCGAAGGAACACTGCGGAAAGGATGTGGTTGCAGAGTGCTCCTCCTCCACAAGCCGTGCTGCTGCATCCTGGTATCGATGTCGCTCCTGATTCACTGATGCAACCAGCCCAGCTTCTCGCAGGCCACACCCGAACCGTCTCATGGCAACCTGCCTTGACGGGGCTGCCATAGCTACTCTTGACGAGGAGACGAAGCCTGACTTGAATGGCTCGGGGCAAGCACTTCAGTGGCATCTTCCATGGCTGTGAACAGTGCATAAGCCCGGAGCATCTCACGGCCCGTCTCTGACACGTCCAGCTGGTCCACTGCCTGACCACACAAGCTCGCGAATGCTCCCGGTTCCTCGGTGCCAGCAGAAGTTGCAAGGCCTGCTCGACGTCGGTCAAGCACTGGCTTCTCGATTTCGGCCTCGTCTCCTGCCATCGCGGAATTGCCAAGATTTAAGGTTGAAGCTTGTTTCCGAGGCTCACCATTCACACGCTGCTTGGTGTGCCGTGCGCCGATCTAGCTCCTCCACACATTGCCTCTTGGCGGGTGGTGTACCGCTCCTGCAAGCGCAGCCCGCTTCACCCAGGTGTTGAAGCGGCGACGATGCTTCGACTTTTTTTTTGGCTGACATGACCATGGCCATCAGCACTTTCAGGGTGCTGTAGATGACGATGACTGAAAACAAAAATTATCATCACACTGGCGATATGGTGGTGGTCCTGCATGGTGGTGGTGGCGATGGTGACAGTGGTGATGGCGGTGACAGTCAAGATAGTGAAGAGGCAGTGATGGCGATGATGACGGCGATGGCGATGTCAACGGCGACGACGACGACGACGACCAGAGCATTCTCAAGGCCGACGTGGTGGCGATCGTGCTGGTCGTAACATTTCCGACAACAGTGTGGGAACAAAAAACACCAGCTCATGCACGGATTCGCGTGGGCAGAAAATGCAGACGTGACAGTTTGGAAATGGAAGCTTGTGCCCCCGTTGCAAACTCGCCTTTACAAACACACCTGCCACCGCAGAAACCGGCACACGACCAGGCCGCATCCTGTCACAAACAAACACTATTGGTCTCTTGCTCAAGGCAGCTTAGGCACTGTGCTGCGTGGTGCCATGGTTGACCCACTTGTGGACCCGTTGCTTATCAAAAGTATTGGCTGCAGCGCCGAGCACTCCGATACTTCTTGCAGGACAGTTACGCTGTAAACCGCGCGGTCTCGGCACAGAGAGACTTTGCCAGCACGTGTAACAAACTTACAATGCAATGCAAATTGCCACAAGATCTTTAAGTTAATAGCCATCGTGAAGCGGGAATTGCTGTTGACTTTTGGCAGCTCTCACTCAAACCGACACTGATCACATCTAGAAGCTCATCAAGGCACAACACTTTCTCAGGTTTAGCATCTGCAACAGATCTAGTCCGGCTCCCTGTCTTGCCTCGGGTTGTCAGATGGCATGATGGCGCAGAACTTGCGGCCACTGAACCCTCGAAAGTCTTAGTCTTAGGCCTGGCAAAATGGGCTAGGTAGGGGCTCTGCTTATAGGTGAGGCAACGCCGTGGCACTTGCGATGTCTGACTCACGCAGATGTTGCAATCTTCTTTCCACTCTGTTTCAGAAAGCCTTGGGACACAGGCGAACGTGCTCGATAGAAGCGCCACGGCTCGAACAGCGGCACACATCACAATAGCTGGAGCACTGACATCGCAACTTTTTACACGAACTCCACCATCGCCGACTGGAAGTTGTCCAAAAGTCTCCGTGCCAGCTCGCTCATCTTGATTTGCATTGCTGGGTAGCTCGTGTGCTCTCTTGCTGCATGCCGTAGTGGTAGCGGCCCACTTGCGCTGGAAGCATCTGCACTGCGCTGCGCTGCGGGCACAAGCCATCGGGAGGCCATCGCTGCTAGCGAATAACGAAAGGGCCCTGACAGCTAGGACGTCGCAATGGGCACGTCAAGGGTGTGCCGCAGGTCAGCGCTGGAGGCGCCAAGATGGATCCGGACACTGGGCTGGAGGACCCAGTCACCCAGTGTCGTTGAGTAGATCGAGAAATCCCGCACCGTGAAGCTCAGCTCGACCTTCTCAGACTCCCCCGGCTTCAAGATTGCGGTCTTGTGAAAGCCTTTCAGCAACAGCCGCGGCTCCTGAGACTCGGCTGGAAACCTCAGGAAACGCTTCCAGAGACTGAGGAAAAGCGACAAAGACGAGATAAGTATTGACTGCTTTACTCTAGGGCAGAAGTTTATGGAGCCTTTCGGATCTCTGCTTGCCAGAACCTTCGGGTAAATCCCTGCAGCTTACTTTCTGCGGCCGTGTTGCTCGGCATATGCTTGGACCACCTCTGCACCAGGGAATCTTGTGCCAATGTTGGTCACCGTTAACGACAGGCAAAGAGGCATGCCGCATTCGTATGGTTCTGGCGAAGCAATTGTAAACTCGGTAAAGGACAAACCGTGCCCAAAAGGGAATGCTGCAGCTTCCGATGCAGAAGGCGCACGGTAGGAAGTAAAAAGGCCTTCACCGTACACTACATCGGGCTCTTGTCCAGGCTCGATGGTGTACTTCTCGTGCTTTGGAATCATGAGTGGGAGTTTTCCTGAAGGAGAGACTTCTCCGAACAGCAGTCTGGCCCATCCGGCTCCGGTGAATTCTCCCCCAAGGAACATGAGAGCAACCGCATCGACGGTCTCTCGCCAGGGCAAGATCACCGTTCCAGGAGCTTGCACGAGAACAACTACGGGCTTGCCCACCTTCGACAATGCATCGACCAGCTCGTCAGCCCCATTGTCTAGATGTAGAGATGGACGGTCTCGGCTTTCTTCAGCTGTCGTCGCAGCAAGGACGACTATGATGTCCGCCTCCCACACCACAGACAAGGCCTCGGTGACATTATTGCTCAGGGAGCTGGTGGTGTAGATGTCGTGGGCATCTGTGTATGCTGTGACGGTCATATGGGGGGTTTTGAACCTGTCTGCTGGGAGGTAGCAGTGCCCTGATCCACCGCCGCTGTAATAGTCGCCAAACATGCCAAGCTCCTCCGTGCTCCGACTCGGCGCCACCCAAGCTTCGCCGATGAGAGCCAGCTTTGCGTTCGCCTTCAGTGGAAGAAGGTTTCCTTTATTCTGCAAGAGCACAATCGACTCTCGCACCGCTCGCCGTGCCAGAGCCAGGTTCTTGGTGCTCCGCTGGTCGGAGTAGATCGGCCCAGAACAGTCCAGGCCGGGAGTGCAAGATGGCACGTCTTCAAAGAAACGCATCTTGTGCGCAGCCGTCAAGATTCGTCGGGCCGGCTCTTTGTACAAATCTTCTCCTTTCAAGTTAGCATAGCCCTTGAAAACACCATCCATTCGCTCCTCCATGGCCTCGAGCTTGTCTGCGAACCAGAACGTTTCGGCACCTGCCCCCGGCATCTCCACGTCCAGGCCCCTCACCACAGACATCTCGGCCGGGTCGTGGAGTGCCCACCAGTCTGTCATCACGAAGCCTTTGAAGCCCATCTTCTGTTTCAAGTCACGGGTCAGCAGCTCCTCATTCGCACAAGCATAGGTCCCGTTCACACGGTTGTAGGAGCACATCACGGAGCCTGCTCCGGCGGCTATGCCAGCCTCAAAGGGAGGATAATAGAGCTCCCAAGCAGTCCGTTCGTCAACCACAGAGCTTTCCGTCATCCGGTTGGTTTCCTGTTCATTGAAGGCGAAGTGCTTCAAGCAGGCCATCACACCCTGGCCCTGAGCAAGCTCACAGGATCTGAGATCAGCTAGGACGTCCAACAAACTGTGACCTCACGCACCTGGACCCCCTTCACATAGGCTGCAGAAAGCTTTGCGCCAAGGTAGGGATCCTCCCCTTGGGTCAGGAATGACAGAGGCTGAGAAGTCGAAGGCAGGCACCGTCAACTGAGATGCACATGCACAGTATACTGCTGTTGCCAGAAAGCCAGACATGTACTCGAAGTTTCGACCTTAGTCTACATGAAGTGTCCTGGACCTTGACACGCACTGACTTAGTCACGCGCCATTGCTGGCTACCCGCTGCACCTGCGATGCAGTTCTCACCAGCACAATAACTCTGGATTGCAGGCTGGACATGACTGCTGACGCTGCGTGGCACAAGGTCATACTGAGTCAGGCTTGAATTCGTTACGAAGTCACGCATGCGCCTGAACGCTTGGGCCCAAGATGAGGTTGGAGCCTTTGCCACGATACTCTCGACCGATTTCAGCTGCCACCTGGAAGCAATGATTCACTCTGGCCGCAATTTACAGCCTGTCGTGGCCATACACACAGCTCCAAGGAAGCCAAGGCCTCCTGCACCAGATTCACATCCCAGGAGGCCCCTAGGGCCAGTGAGCAGGGCCACATAACCTTGGATGACGCGGACGACACTAGCGGACCCCGTCAGGGTGTGGCTGCTTGCAGACAACCGGCCGTACTTCCGGCTTTGCCTTGTGGACCAGGCATGTTCCGGAAGCCGTTGCCGGCGTCGTGGAGCTTCAGCGGCGGCACACCAAGACGAGGGATGGGAGGAAGATTGCCCATGTAGTGCCCAACTCACGAGTAAGCAGCGCAAGATGTCTATGCACAAGATCATAGGCAAAATCACCTATGCTCAACGCCGCCTTGACAAGCTAAGGCCACCACGGGCTGGAATGGCAGGGAGCGGTGCTGGCAACCCATAAGGAACTGAAATCCACCCAATTCCCTCAGATCTCAGCTGCATGGACACTTAGAGTCAGCTTCAGAAGCACTTCCTAATCGATCCGCGTTTGCCCGTTGCCTGCATCAGGCTGTGGCGCTCTTGTCGGGTCATGTTGGCCAAAGTCAAGGCAGCTCGAGTTTCTGCCTCCTCCCAGGGAAAAAACCCTGGATATACACGATTAGTTGTGAGAATGACAATAAACTCAATAGAGATGCCAAAAAAGTACAACTGGAAAACAAAAACACAACACGAATCGTACGTGAACACTAATGCGGAGAATGCAGAAAGAACTGTGAAAAAAAAACAGCAACAAGAAAGACAAACTGCTGGGTTGTGGTGGTGGCTGTGGCGGTGGCGGTGGCGGTGGCGGTAACGGTGGCGGTGGCGGTGGCGGTGGCGGCGGAGGAGGAGGAGCGTCGCTTTGCAACCAAAATCCCCACTTTTTACCTGGAATCCCCACTTAGATTATCACAGACAGTACTTTCGACACAAGAGTCCCCACTTAACTGTCAAACTTCTCCGTAGCCCCGAGCTGCTGCGTGAGAGAGTGGGTTGTATGAATGATCTTCTCGCTCCGCTTGCGGCTCCCTCTCTCGCTCTCTCGTTCCTGCGCTTGGGGCCAAACCTCTCTCTTTTCTTTCCTAAGGGTAGACGGAAGGGCTGTCTCTGTCTTCTTCCCCCGGGGCATGAGTGGGGTCTGACGCCCCTCGGCCACAAAGGCCTTCCCGATGTTTGTGGGGGCTTTGGAGGAGTGTGAAAACTGGATGTTTCCCCCTGTCACACATGCTTTATCATATATTTCATAGAATAAGGACAGGGTTCAGCATTCCATCGCAACATCATTGCAGTACGTAGGGGTACTAAGTCTCCATGAATTAAATTTCGCAAAGAGTAAAGACTAACTTCAATCGTGGTTGTAGTGCTTGCAGTTGGTCGTCATGCTCACGGTAAAAACATACTGGGCCATAACGAACGCCATAGCAGCAAAACAAAGCGACGAGCATGTTCTACACCGCAACGACAAGAATGAAGGGCGGAGTCAAGAATGCTGCTAGCACGACTGTGGCCGTGTTCATCATGTTGCAGGCCGATGACATCAAGGCGGCTTTCTGCCAGATGGTCAAACTCGGACAATCATCATCACTTTCGAGCATCGATCCTTATGGGAGCTTGGCAACTAATGATGAGTCCTCCCAAGTCAGGGGCACTATCGGCTCGCAAAGGACCCCGATTTTCTTGCGCCAGGATTCTGCCTGACACTGCTGTTGATGGAGTCACAACACCAAAGGGTCAACGGTCAACATCGTGATGCTACGCGCACCTCCTGAGAGCTGTCGCTGCAAAGCTGTAGACGCAGCTGTGGAGTCTCCGCAATGGCAGCTTCAGGGCGAAAGCGGGGTATGTTCTCCTGATCATGGAGGTAGACCCAAAATCGGCTTAACATGTGCTTTAGGACCCAGTCCTGAGCGACGATGACAGGAAGGAAACGCGACAGTGCCTTGCTGCCAATCTGGGAAAAACTGCAGCAGCAGAAATCCTCCCTGCATCATTCTCGAGCCAACCGACTACCGTCCATGCCAAGTCTCGTGAACGAGCCAGGCCAAAAAAGCCACAAAAAGGATCCTCCCCACTCTCGAGGACAAGGCTGCGATGAGACAGCCTGCGTTCTTCGCGTCCGAGATCGTCCGAAGAATTTCAGATCAACGCAAACAGCCGCTGCCTAGCAGTCCAGAGAAGAAAGCCGAGCTCCCGCAGACATTCCATCCGACGTTGACGAGCTCGAGATCAGTTCGTGGGACTCCTGAAGCCTGAGTCAGAAAACTCTTGACATGTTGACATGCTGTGTCACAAGAAATCAGAAATGAAGAAATCCTGGCAATAAAGGCGAGTTTCAAAAACTGCCGCCCACACCAGGAGACCCGCCGCAAGAAACAGTGGCAGTCGCCTGCTCAAGCGCAGGATGGTGATGGCACTAAGATGCAGTTCGGACTTCAAGTCTTCAATCCGCTTAGCCCTGCCTGGACGCCACAAGAATTCCAGCGATTATGTTGGGCACCTGCCACTGGTAATTCGGCCTCGGTTTGAGGCTCCGGGACATGCACAACTCCGCTGCTGTCCCTAATTGCGCCAAGCTTCTCTTGCACGAGTCTCCAGGCCACGAGGGAAGAAAATAACAGCCCTGTAGCCGTGTGAATCCACTGCAACGCCGTCGTCACCGTGACCATGGCCACCACCCTCTCCGCACGGAGATTCGCTGATTTGGCTGGAGCGGAATGGCTCAAGAGCGTTTCGTGTGTCCCAGCCCGGCTCGGCCAATGACCAATCGAACGCGAGTCGCACAGGTATCCTTTTGCAAACAAAGCTACGGCTTGCCTCGGCGCAAGCGAGGGCACGTTAACGGAAAGGTGAGATGACCAAGCTTGCTGACAGCACCAAGCACTCTTTGGATGCTGTCTGCACCGCTTAATCGGAAAATCAAAGGTCGAGGCCAGTCACCTGTATCAGCTCAAGCACCTGAAAGAGCAAATGTAGCACAGGCCGCAGCCGCTCGTCAAGCCAAGAAACCGCCGCACCTTACACGCGACTCCCAGGGCCAGCTCCTGGACAGCACTTTGGAGTTTGTCGCTTTCGGGAAACTCTCACAATACAGCACGCTGTCCTGTCTCACATCCAGGGGAACCAGTGCGTCCGGGACGTCCAACCTCACTTCTGCTACCAGCCATCGGCCGGACGTGCCTTCAATCATATGCCTGGCTGGTTGGAGAGATCAAGGCGCAGAAGCAGATAAGCAGCGGACATCTGCAGAATATTGAGAATCGAATCGTTGGGATCACAACGCCCCTGCACAACAGGACAAAGACACCAGGCTTTTGGTAGGGGTTCACTGTCTGGGCACGCCCACGGCCAGAACGCTTTGGAAGTAAGGCTGCTCACCTGAGGAGTTCACGTCAACGTGTAGACGAACGGCAAGCTTACATTCAGCTTTCTTGGCTGAGGCCTCCGGCTTAGACGCATATCTCTTGCAACACCTTGCAAGTATTTCTCCGCAAGCGGGCACTGCTCCTCAGCCATAGTGGTGTGACAGGAAGCAACCAACGCTCTAGTGTCATTGAAGTGCATGGCCTTCGGTCCACGCCCAAGCAACAACTCGTAGTAATGGTCTGATATGTCAGAATCAGAGCCTCAGCAGCAAAAATCAAGGAAGCAAAACTTCCACAGTTCGCACCCCATAAGAGCTCAGAGATGGGCGTAGCTCTATTCGAGATTCTTCTGCAAACGGACACGCCAGGCCTGAGACGCTGTGAAGCGAAACGAGTGTTCGGACCCCCAAAGTGTACAGGCACTGAGGGTCGGTCTATCCTGCAGCAACGGCCTGAATCCGCGAAGAGACCAGCAGCCCGCTTTGACACTGCATTAGCTTCCAGTGGTTTGTGGCAGGCGACTCAGATCAGAGCCTCACTTTCGAAACCGCTGCACGGCGAGCCCAGGCCCGACACAGCAACGCGGCAAAGAGGTCCTAAAAGCATCCACCGTGCGCAGGCTCGCAAGCGACAGCTGCTGGCTTCGCCTGCTTCACCAGAATTTGCGGTGGTGTATCCGTCGACTTGAGGTCCGTGTAGTCCTGAGGCACAGCACGGTTGCCCCGTGCCGCATCTGGCCGCGGGGGCCTGGCCTTTCCTTCATTGAGGCTTTCCATCTGGCACAGCCCACGAAAGAGGTCGTGGCCATGACCTGCAGAGAGCTCTGGCCCGGCTCAAAAGGAAACAGAGAAACAGAGGGCCCCTGGCTCAGAAGGATGCATCCGGCCACGCCAAGGACATCCTTCACATAAAAGGGGCGCACTGAACAATGCAGACAATGACAGGAATACTCATTGACTCATTGTCCTTTCCCATGCTCACGTGCACGCCCGTACCATCGACTTGCCTCAGATCATGAAACTGTGCTGTGAATTTAAAGCTCTCCGAGACACATGTCCTCTAGGGCCGAGGACTGTAGCCGGGCTCTTAGGAGGTCCCTGTCCTCCTCCGAGTCGATCACCTGAAGTCGCTGAACAAGACGGCCCCCACCTTTTGCTGCCGTTTCTTCCCGACCCCTGCCTCGGAGTCCCAGGGATGAGGCTTTGGTGCCGGAACCTCCGTGGTCTTCCAGGGACAAAGCTTCCGAAGATCTCCGAAGGCTGAGCGTTCCACCGTCCACCAGACGAGCACCTCTAGCGCCGAGTTCCGGGGCTCAACTGAAACAAACGTCTGCTGAGTGCATTCTAGCCGCATCCATGTACTTCTCGCAGAGACAGACTCGACGCACCTGGATCCCTTGAACTTCCTGCTAAGTTGTTGGCTACTGCAGGAACTCGTGTTGCTCTGAAATTGGGTGCGCAGCGTGGCAGTGACAGCCGCTAGATTTGTCTCCCAGCCGAAACGCCGGCTCGACATCAAAATGCACATGCTTCGGAGGTCCCGGCACGACACCCGAAACACTTCAACTCTGCAGCAGGCTTCTTGGATTGCCGGTCTCAACAAACTGCTCCAGTCGAGACTGCAGCCTTCGCGCACCCTACAGCTACTTTCCAAGCGCGATCATGTGATCGAACAAAGGCCAAGCAACACATACTTTGAAGATCCTAGGTCCTGCGATCCTGGGGTCTCGGGTACTCCACCAAACACGACAGGAGCATCGCGCTCCAGGATGGGGCTCGGCAGTGAGAGTGCCGCTGCCGCTTGCGCCCAATTACCCAGACCGAGGCCTGGCGAGGCCTCGGCATCTCACTTGTCCTTTTTCTTCTCAGCCTGCCAGAAAGCAAGAAGGGCGTAGAGGAGACAGAAGATGCTGAAAATAACTGCACGCACGTTTCGATCCTCCAAACCTGCGAGGCAGCAATCCCGAAGTCCACAACATCGTCTATGTACATGGGTAGCAGTGTGTAGCCATGCTTCTTTGGCCTTCTATGACAATTCGACTCGCTTCGTGCACACTGGCTTCCCGTAAAAGCGATCACTTTGGAATCGTTGCAATGACTCCCCACCACGGAACATCACCAGAAGAGAAGGGTGCCGCCACCGCCAGGAGCTCCATGCCTAGGAGATTACGGCTGGGATGAGGATGCTTGTGCTGTGGCGATTACAACTGCTAAGTTTCCTGTGTTCATGCTGCATATAGAATCATATAGACATGGCAAACAAGATTGAGGAGCGTGCTCAATCAGGAATGTCATCGTATTGCGGAACTCGTCTGAAGCTCCCTGCAATTCACGGAACTACCGCCAGCAAGCTCCAAGGTCCAAGAGTCCTCGAGTCCTTCTCCTGGCCTCCGCTTCTGACGTACGCCTGGCCTGGATAAGAGTGATGAAAACAGACACCCTTTTGGAGCAGCAAGGTGCCACACAGTGTACCCAACGGGCACATGCTGAAAAGCACCGACCGTCAACATCGTACTGGAGCCCCCTGAAGGAAGACCTCCAGGTTGCGATGGCAAGAGCTACTCGATGCAGGCAGTCTTGCGAAGCTTCCCAACTACGTTTCCTTTTTTCCGCTCCTTGCTGCTGATGATGGAGAACAATGCAAGGTTGCTCTACTCGCTGTTGGTGTGTCTGCTGTTGTTGCTGCTAGTGTTATTGGATTCCGGATCAGGCCTTCCGCGAGATGCCAGGAAGGCCGCACTACAAAGCAGCCAAAGCCTTGGAAAGGCAGGGGATGATCGCAAGAACCGAAACACAAAGAGTAACAAGACAAGCACAGACTTGACAATAAAAGTGATGACACCATGGTGGTGATAATCAGCATCAGCATCGTCATCGCAATCATCATCATGTAGCACCAGCACCATCATCATCATCATCATCACTACCACCATTGTCATCATCATTGTCATCGAAAGCATTTGAGCGTCATTGTCATCGCCGTCGAAAGCATCGTCTTGATCAACATCATCGAACGTTGGAAAAGATCCCGTTGCTGAGAATGTTGGCGGGAAGCCGAGAGTCGACCGTTCTCTCTTCAGACAGCTCGCACAGCATTGAGAGCGTGCATGGCCACGAGGAGGGGCGGACATCTTCAAGGCTCGGGCGGCCAGCATCCCAGCAGGTTCACAGTGAACCGTGCCACACTGCGGTGGACCAGCCCGCCACGCCTCCAAGCCTTCACGAAGAGTGTCGAAACCGCGCTGAGAGCCGGAGGGCCCCTCCGGTTGAGGTTTCGGCTCTTCCCTCCCGCAGCAACTCCCACCTCGAAGAGGCACTGCCGCACTGCACGCTCTCAAGGCTTTGCAAAAAACTCCTGGATGCAAGTTGCGTCGACTTCGGTGGAGCCGTCGATGCACGTGTATACTGCCTTATCGGCGAAGGGAAGGCTCTGAGCTCCGAAAATCAGCATCAACTAAGGGCAAGCGACGAGTAGTACGGCCCGGAACCAGGAAAGCCATGCCTGTCACTCTTGACTGCGGTCAGGCACACACTGGACGCCGGCTTTAGCTGCACGTGCCTGGCATTGAAACCATGAGCAGAGCCTTCCGTCGGTCTGGAGGCCTTGAATGACAACTCTGTCAAGAGGCGGCTGCAGAGCAACTCAGCTACAACGGCCTCACTTGGCACTTGGAACGGCTCACTCCGTCCATCTGACAATGCCTACCAATGCACGCGAATGAATCAATGCTGGCGGCAAGTCTTCTGCATGAGGACTCAAGAGCAACAAATCGTGCCAATGCGGTAACGTGCCAACCTGCCTTGTATGCTGCTTGCAGCTGCTGAAAGGCTAAGTGTGCATCTGGCACCTGACCTGGGCCCAACACCACCGTGCGGCGTGCGGTTGCAAATTTCAACTCGGACGGGCTGAGTCTTGAGCTCGTGTCAGGATGAAGCTGCTTGGCCTGCGAGAGTTTCGGTTCGGCTCGGGCAAGTTCGGGCTCTGCTGGAAAGCCGATCAGCCGATCCTTCTGCAAGTAAGCTTTTCGGATTTCCGCATGGGATGCTCCTCGGGCAACACCTTGGCAAAGGGGCACAGCACGACAGCCAAGCTACGAGGCATCACCGGGAAAGTGGCCAAGGATCCGATGCGGATCCGGCACGGGCGCCGTGAAGACCACCCTCACCCGAAAAGGCGCTGAGCCCTGAGGGCTCTCTTAGCACACTGCATACACTGCCAGGGGGAGGGCCTCAAAGGCACCGGCCCACAACGTGGCCAGTGGCCTCATCACTAGGAGCGATGGAAGCTTGCTAGCTCCGGCGACTAGTGCAGCTGCGTAAGGTTCAGGCTTCACACGACACCACTAAAGCGGCCGAGCCATTCTAGAGTCTCTAGAGCCAACCGCTGCAGTCTGTTGAAGAAAGGCGGTTGTAAAGGCTCTTGCACTGGAAGCACTCAGCACATGTTGCCTCTTTGCCATCGTGCTCTTTTTCAAAGCGCTTGACCTCGGTGTGCATCTCGGCGTCGGCGAAACGGAAGTGTGTGAATTTGCAAATGGAAGAACACAGAAGAAGCCCCGGAGCCCCCGGCCAGCTTCATGAAGGCGGCGAGGATCTCCTCTTGGCCCAGATAGCCGTCGCTGTCGAAGTACTCCCCGACCGAGGTCTGCCGGCAGCTTCAAGCACTTGCGCCCACAAATTTTGGCCAATCATGTGGCGTGGAGTCACCTGCATGGAGCCTTACACCTGTAGCACTTCTTGCAAGAAGCCACGGCCTTGTGCGAAATCGGTGTGTCCTTCTTCCTCATTTCACTGGCAAACACACATCATCGGAAGAAGCCGAACAGAAGGCACGAGATCAAGAGACAAAGGAAATGATCTCATGCAGCCCAGCCACAAGCCAATATGATTCCTGCAAAGGCTTAGAGGATCCTACGTTGGGTTTCACATCCGCCTCCCAGTGGCTCTGAGATCACCCACTCAACGCACGGCTGACACCAGCACGACAGTTCCACAAGCTCCACGTCTGTTTGCTGCTTCTCTTGGAACATGAAATTGAAATTGCATTCAACAGAAGCTCCAAATCCCATCAACCCATGGGCCTCAAACCAATTGTCATCTCGTGCGAGAACGGCTGCATGGTCACGTCAACAAAGACTGTCTGACCACTGACCTCCACAGGGACCAAGACCACCGTGTCACAACAATGGTGTCGCGTCATTCCGAACACTCAAGTCTCTTTGCTCGGGAAAGGACCTTTATGCAAATGACTGATGTCTTGATGACCTGAAGAACGTCATCGAAAAGTTTGGAACATGCCAGGACTTGCTGGGACTTTGGCGAGCATGTCTATCAGCGTCACGAGGCCAGTGAAGAAAAAGTAGCCAGCAACGCAAACACCGATCATCAATCTGTCCTGCAACAGGCAACTCTCGAGCCGTCATGCACCAGGAGGTCTTTTGCCCTGCGGCTTCAGACTCAATCCCTTCATCTGTCACAAGCAGTCCTTTGGAAATTTCAGCACGAACTGTGCATAACACCCGAAGGCGCAGCAAGCAACGCAAAGCATTATCCGGATGTTTGTCCAAAAATGGTCCTGCCAGGGTGTCTTAAGTAGCACCGTGAAGCAACTCTGCTCAATTGCACAAGGCAGCCGACACCTCTTGGAACCCCATGCGTGGTAGCCTTCGCGCGCGATTAAGACGGCAGAGACTGCCTGCTGTCTACTCATTTAGCTGCATGACCATCCAACGTTGCTTTTCTCAGAAAGCTTGCAAGTTGTATTGACGGAGTTTTGTGTCGGTTTTGAGTCTGCCCGAGAAGTGGCTTTGCAAGGCCAAGAATACTTGGAGGGCGTCTGCCGGCACTGCGGGGTTGCCCGTGCAACAGTTAAGCACCAGTCCCGCAACATACATACAGACGTGGTTTTGGACCAGCTCAGTTTGGCACGCATCATTGAAGAACTCATTGGCGGCCTGGCTCGAAAGACATATCGTCTGTTAATTACAGAACGTTTGCACTACACTGAGAATACAACACGGCGCAAAGCCTTCAGCAGATCCGTCTTGGAGTAGAGGCTTCCAGCCTAGAACAGGTGCAACCACAACCGTCCTTCATGGCTACCAAATCGTTGCCTTCTTGTCATCGATGTCTGGAAGCCTTATCATGTACGCGATCGGGAACATTGTGCCTATGCATGTTGCCATTCGAGATCCCAGCTCTGCACTTGCCATCACATTGAACCGCCTGGACTTTCACAAGTTCAAGAGGCAAGCAATCTTTCGCTACCATCGATCACTAAGAGGAGCCTTCGCTACCTGGAACATCCCATGATAGGCGGCTCCGAGCACGCTATGCTCACAGCCGTAATGCAGCAACGATGCAAAACTAACGTTGGAGCAAACCCTGATGAAAAATCCATGAAGTGTTGCCACTGCCTCAAGCAGTGCGACTCGTAGTACAATCTCAGACTGCACACATCCACGAAAGCTTGCAGGGCGCTGGTACTGGACGGCTTTACGGCTGTTCCATAGTTCCATCCAAAGGTGAACTGCCTTTGTATCATAGACCAAACCTTAGGCAGTTTCTGAGCGCGACTGGGAGTCGCTCGCCTCATTCCTACAAAGGACCTTCCCTCAGGTACATCAGTTTTGCCCAGACTTTTGCGTTCCATAGATGCTGGGGTTGGTTGTCCGCGAGGCCCTGAGAAGGGCAGCGGCTGTTAATAACCTCTTGGATCCTTTCCTCGGGAGGCCATGTTGGGAAGGTTGAAATTGCGTCCTCCGAATTCGCGTCGTCCGAATGGTCATAGCTCACCTGGAGTGGGGTAACTGGGGATACTTGTTTTGTTGATGCAGATCATAAGGCTTGCAGAACTGCTTGATCGGGGATTCTCCAGGGCAGGTTTTGCTTGAGCTTGTGCTGCATGCATTTGACCGCAGCTTCACAGCAACTGACGTGAGGGTGGGTGCATGGGCACGGAATCCCGGCTGAACCACTGATGGCGTGGCTTATGCTTTTAATTGATTTGTTTTGAAGCTCGGGACAAAAAAATTCTTCTAAACTTGAAGCTGAAAGACGACATGTGCTGGGCATCTCGCAAGTTCGGAGTGGTGCACTTATACCGTGTAGAAGAAGCATTAAGAGGAGGCGCAAAAGGGATGCCGCAAGTGGAGTCCAAAAAAATCTGCGCTAAACCACACTTGGATGATTGTGCTTGCAAAAAGTGCTCCCTCCAACTCCCCCTGTTTTGTAATCCGAGCATACTTGCATTCTAGATTTAGCTGGTCTTTGTCGATGCAAAAAACACATCCTTCGTGTGTGGATGTCTTGCGTTTCATCTTTGCTTAAATGCGTGTCATACGTATCTTGAATGTGTGTCTTTAAGCTTTCTACATGCACAAGCTTTCTAAACATGCACGGCTCACGAAAAAGAAACTGCGAGGGTCGCCAAAGAAATGTACTTGTGCACACAGACACAACTACATTATGTATTTTGATTCCTGCAAGCATAAACTTCTTGAGCATACACGGCTTGCAAACACGGAAAGTTCGAAGAGCCAGATAATGTTTTATTGTTCAAAAAAACAAATCTGTGTTCCCTCCCTTCCACTCCAACCCTCCGCCAGAAAAATTGTCAGTCGGGTCGTGCAAGCAGCGTGAGACAGGCGCCAGTCTCCATCCACCGCATCACGGCAAGGGTCGACGTCTTGACAGTCGAGCCGGGACTTCTGTTGGCGCTGCGCTTGGTAAGAATGCAGCAAGTTTCAACTTGATTGTTTGAAACGAATATGTGTTCAAGACCACAGCATTAACTGGCTACACTTTGGAATTCTCCGGCTGCATGTTGCTGAAGAAACGGCCGCTCCGCGTCCAGATTGTGCCCGAAGATGGTTCGCCAGCACCAAAATGCAGACCCCAAAATGCGACCGTTTTCTGAACCCCCGGAAATATGCCAGTACTCAGATGCACTAAAAACGGGTCCGAGTTTCGGGCCCATTTTTGAGCCCGCTTCTCACTCTTTTTTTGAACTCTCAACCCCAAAAAGTGATCACCGATTTTCTTTTTGCTTACGCAGCCACTCCATCCAACAGCACAGCTTATTGAGCTGTTGCAGATTCATGGACAACGACAGCAACAATATTCTGTGGCTTAAGCTATGAAATCGAACAAATGTAGAAAAAGATACTCCCGCAACTGGGGAGCGCACACGTTTTCGAAGAGTTTTCGGCCTCGAACATGAGCCCGTCAACTCTGTCAAAATGAAGGTTGAGACAACGTCCAGGATATTCTGGAGGCTCCCACATGAGTTTGCCTTGCGCAACCTACAATTTCAGTTTGCTCTCCGACTCTCTGTTATGTCTCATTGTGTGAAACCCCATCCGCAAAAAACGCTAAACCCAACACACAACATCAAACGCGCGGTTTAAACCAAAACATGCGGGTTGCTGTTGTCCTAAACCCTCCTGCAGGGCCGCTTAGACGTTTTGACTTGCTTCTAATTAAACCAGCTGTTTCTAGTCTGATTTACCAAACGTCGCATGCAGCAACGAATTCGTAGCAAGTGCTACAGTTTCAGCTACTCCGTGCCCCACTACCCCGCGCGACTCTGCAGGGCCGCTGAGACGTTTTGACTTGCTTCAAACTATACCAGCTCTTTCTATTCTGGTTTAGTAAAAACGCCGCATAGACATAAACACAACTGAGATTTTCT